TGAACACGAACTAAAACAGAAATATTTCTGAATGTCAATTCATGTATTCGAATTGAGTAACTTGAACAGTAGTAACGTAGTAGTAGCGTCTACTTACATTGCATCCAAATGGACACGACTAGACAAAAATAATAATACTTCCAAATTAATATTAAGACTGTACCTTTTCGTAATTGTGTCAGGTCTTATATCATGTCTTGGTATTTGGGATGATGTGGGGGGACCATGTTTGTAGAATTATGGTCTAGTTCGTTATTATTACTGTTAAAATAATAAACCTAATCACAACATAGTAGGTATGTCATGATGTGACTACCTAATATATGAGATCTTACGTGGAAATCCCATCATTTTCACCACTGACTCGTATCGTAACTATTAGCAATATAGTTGGCGTTTCTAAAGAACATAATTAGGCTGGAGATAGAACAATATATTTATTACGAATAAAATGGATAACTTACACAAGAATAACCACGCCTACAAGGCTTAACCATGTCATCGGATTGATTCCCGGATGAATTTACCGGCGTTCAGTATTGTTGGCATTTTCTCCGTGTTACACATCGAATATCTATCTTCTCTACTGTTGTATTTTCAGGTTTGAGGATTGTGTGGTTAGGACTAATACTACCACTTATTAATGAGACGTGATTAGGCCACCCTAAGGCAACCAGTCACAATGCACAAATGAATAATGGTGACTAGCACACAGAGCTACAGCACTTGGCCACCAACATAAGGAGATGGACCATAGAAAAAACTGATATTCGAAGTAAAACAAGCTTAACATAATAAAGTTGCACAACAAACATGACTTTTAAGCATGCAGACATTTAGTAATCTAACAGCAATGGCTACGATCAGAAGAAATTATACGTCATGCAAACAACTGAATTATAAAAATGGCACACGCTTGAGATCGTTTTTGGGATTATTTTATGGTTAATAATGGAAATTTCTCTACGTGCACACTTTATTCATTTATTCCGATTGATCCTTGCAGCTGTGCATCCTTTTGAGTTTTGCTTATAGTTTTGATGATATGAAAGTTTTGCGGTACTTTTGTCTTTTATGTCTCCACTGAATTTCTATGCCTTTCATAGGTCACATCTACGTTGTTTTACTTGAGGTTAGGTTATGGTGGCTGTCATGTTTATTCGTTCCCCTTTTCATTAGATTTCTTGAACTGGCTAGAATTGTTCATTTTCGGCTGTGAATTGAAGCTCATTTATATCATTGGAAATACTCAGAGTTGTAAGTTAACTATTACTTTTCGAAAATTCTGCATGTGATTTATCCAGAGAAGATAGATGGCATCTCTGTATTAATAGGATTGGTTATTTTTCCAGCTTGATTTGATTATTCATTGATCAGTCATATGTCGGATAACTGAGTGGTAATGTTTTTTAGAACCGTTCTTTATCTAAGCATTTTGTTTTAGATTTCGACTGGACAGTGATATATGCGTCAAATCTAACTCCAGCAGTTACTTCTCATCCAGTGGGCTTCAGCTTGAAAGCTATATATCTGAACGAATTTACGGTCATTGGATGAAGTATCTACCTATACTGGTCATGGTTACTAATGGGATATGTTGCAACCTTTTAGTCAATATTCTGGTGCTGAGTTTGTGATGCCGACCACACGTCAAAGAAAGTCAAACTGCTTTAGTTTGGATGCTAAGATCATCCCCAACGAGATCTTATTATTGTGAGAATTTTTCCTGAATTTAAACATTTGGGGAAGCCTCCCAAAACTAACGCTTTAACCTTGGCCTAAATCGACACCAAATAGTCTACGTTTTACCTCATTTTGCACAACGTAATGCACTTTATGCATAAACATTTCATAGAACAATCGTATAACAAATCGTCATATTTTCATACGAGTTATTTACTTTTCGCCCAAAAAATTCCGACCTTTGCCAATAACTTACCTGAAAGCCCTAATTTCCTGAGCAATCAATATTATCGAGAAGAATGATTGCTGTAAATAAAGTAATTTGTTTATAGATTGCACTTACAGTTCTTTAAAGTATTAACATTCGCATTACAGTCAAATTTCAACATTGTAGTTGGCAGAAATAACTGTTTCACTGTAGTCTGAGAAGCTAGTTTGTGCGAGACTTATTAACCATATACTTTTATTCAGAATCCCTCTTATTTCAAACAAAAACTAATCCACACGAATCCTTACCAGCTGCAACGAACTTATTTTAACGCACTAAATACATTTAAAAATGTAGGTGTATGTCAGAAAACGTCGATTAAAAAGGTTACTATCAATAGTGACTGCATGTTAATCAATTGTCAGTAAGATCTGTTTTTGTCACTTCAATCCCCAAACGAAACACCGACTGAAGGCTTTTTAGGTATTTTGTTGGATTTTTAACACGAATTTGTAACAATATAAGGTGAAGCCCACCATAAATAAGCCAGTTGTATTGAATAAATTTAGAACTGAAAATGTTACTTTATTTGAATGATCAGGGATGTTAGCTACTGATAAACGTATAATCACTACGACCGGATTCAACTACATTCTATAGCTCGTGATAATCCACCCCTCTGATAAACAGTATGGATCCTTTCTACGTATGATCCTAAGAAAGACTGCCAGAGACTGCCTGGTGTGAGTAGATCACGAGGTTCCAGAGCGGCAAACGAAGGCTGAAATGTTCTCTTAACCGTGCATCCAACACTTTGTAAACAGTCTACAATGCATGACCATTTTCATAACAATGAAATTTGATATGGCATCAGAATTCGATTCCGAAATATTTTCCTCAAATTTATTGAGGACATCACTGGAAAATAATGGATCATTAGAAAAATCAGCATTTATCGAAACTGCATCACTTTCTTGATCATGATCTTATTCACTTAACATATTTTCCTCAGATCTGTGGGAAATTTCATCAAAAATATGTGAATCATTAGGCCAAACCATCATCTAGTACAATAAAATGAGAAATCCGATAAGAAATTGTTTGATTCGAAGATTTCGCCTCACAATGATCCTGAGTTTTATTTAATTCCGTACTACTATGTGAATTTATACCAATTTTTGAAGTTATAGACAAAGATAAATGATCATCAAAAACATTCAACCTAATAGGAGTAGAATTACAAAGTTTAGTAATAGCTGAAGAGAAATGAACAGTAATATTACAAATTGACTGAATGTATCCAATCTGACTACACTTTAAACATTCAGAGTTACAAAATACACATAAATTAAATGAGCGATAAATAACACGGAACAAACATTGATCAAATTTGTGCCCATCTTCGTGATCTACCTCGCAACTCCTCAATCAATTGTATGTATGAACTGTACTGTTTTTCTCCGATGAATGTGAGGAAATGTGCCGCAATATTAACATCTTCAACATCTCCTTTGGTCATAGTCCAGATTTTGAACCTTTCCATATAATCCTCAAAAGCATCAAAATCTGAATTTATGTCCAACCATTCCATCACAAGCTCCATTATTATGCCATTGTGATAATTAGGAGTATTTGAATAGTAGTGCAAAACAAGAATCCCTGAAATGACACGATTTAACGAAGAAGTATTAAATGAGCACGAATGAACTTATTGTATTTGAAATTCGAAATAAATCAGTCATAAAGTACAAGGGAATCATTACTTCATACAAACACAACAGAGCATCATGGTGAAAATACCACAGGTATTTGGTTTTTGACAACGCTTTAACCAGTAACACCTTCTAATATGAAACGTACCCACCAAGTGAAATCAAAATACAGAAGCGAGAAGGTTCGAAGATATATTTGATAGGCTATCAATATATCGAGGATCGTCTTATCTTATCTGGCTAGCTATTGCAGGGATTGTTGAACATGGCTATTTCACTCGTGATCTGGTGCAGATGCATGACGGAGTCCATTCAAACTAATGTGGTAAGCATCCAATAACGAAGACTTACAGAGCTATTTATTTTAGGGATTCATTTACCACTACACAATGGTAAAACGACAGAACCCTCAAATTTTTTGGACAGTCATTAAAATAAGAGGAGATAGGAAAATTGAACAATATATTGTTACGAACTCTTCAATACAACTGGGCGTTTTTCCGACTCAATAAATTTATACCGACTACTTGCACCTGGCTGTGCAAACTTTAACCGATAGTTTCGTAGAAAAACGGAAAATATTTAAGCTAACTCCTTGATTTACTGAATTAATCAAAGAGATGAAGAGTAAACTAGCTCCAACACCTATAGAATTGTTAACGAGACAGGAATCACCTTAAAAACCTTATGCTTTGTCAATTTTAATGACCAACATCTAGTTATCACAGATCGGTGCATTATTCAAACAGGTCCTTACAATTTCCATTTGAAAACCACTTTCGTCACATTAGATGATGATCTTAGGCCACAGTGTTCAACAAGTATGTATGAAAGAGTTTTCTGTCTGCCTATATACCCTGATTTATATGGTTGGATGAGATTCTGGACCTAATGGAACACTTAACGAACACTGAAAACGGATGGTTAACAGGATGTAGCGGTAAATAAATCGCCAACATAGATAGCTCTGCAAGTTTCCGACATCTTATTCCGACTCCATAAATTTCAATGTACACATTTAGCTGAAGGCTCTCGATCGCGGCAGATCACGAATGGGCTACGCCTCCCTTGCAACTAACAGGCCAGCTTAAACCAAACGCTTCTCTATATATAGATGGCCTTCCAAATATATCTTCGAAAATCTTCACTTCTGACTTCTGATTTGACTGGGTTGGTATACTTTGATTATAAATGTGTAACGTGTAAAGACGTTGTCAAACCACGCATACCTGTTTAATTTTTACGTATATTGCGCGCCTTCAACTTGTGAGCTTTTTATCCAGCACAAAAAGATCACTGTTGTAGCACTCAATGAACCAAGGTTTTTGAAAGCAAATAACTGAAATATTCACATTTTACTGTCACCTAAATCTTTCAAAGTATTGAACATTGGACCAACTCACTCAAAGTACTCTCGAGGCGGTCTCTTTCGGATTTTCTTCCCGATGGCCAACGGCACTTCGGTTGGGGAGACTAAGTTCATATATTACATCGATGAGGAAGAAACTCCTTACCTTGTTAAACTCAACATTGCTCCAGAAAAAGTCACTCTTGGCGATTTCAAGAATGCTCTAAACAGACCGCATTCGAAATTTTTTTTCAAGTCACTAGACGATGATTTCGGGTTAGTAATTCCTTGAACATGTTCGATGCGTTTTCATTATTGTCGTATCTTGATTGCCACCGGAGATTTACGACCGGGTATTTTTGCGATATTTTTTTGGTTACTGAATATAAAAAAGCATTGCAAATGCGTATGAATTTTCTGCAACATTTATTACGGCCATTTATAAGATAATTAGCGGGAGACTACTTTTCGTCATGGAGATATATGCTGCATACTCAGGGACCTGCTGATACCTGTCTTTGTGTATGAGCAGCAGTCAGCATGGGGTCGACAGTTTACTTAACCACTCACCGATCTATGTGAGATCCTTTTACTTTGTTACGTGAAACACAAGTCTAAAAGAACCAGTTCTTCCACTCAATCTGTAAATAACGTTGAAACGACGTTTGGGTAGGTTAAGTGGTTCCTTTAGATTTTTGTCTCCGACGAGGATTTGCTAAGTCTGATGCCAATCGATAGACTACTGTTTTCCCAGGTCGTTATTTAATATGTGTAAACTCCCAGCAATCTGTTAGTCTTTAATATCCAAGTATGTGGTCGACTGTTTAGGATACCTATTTGTCTTAGAAATTAATTGCTCTACACTAATTGAAAGCGGTTGCTTTATATCCAAACCAAATCTCATCCACCGATCTGAAATGCCTGTCAGTATGTTGAGAATCAGTGTAATAGACGACACATTTTCACTCCGTATATCCAGCATCGTCATTCAAGGCTCGTATGTGTTCCCCATGTCAGTAAAGCATTCTAAATGAGTGTTCATTCCTTGAAATGTATAGGCGAAGAAAAGTATTAGCTTTTGAAGCATGTCTGTCACAAGGGAAAACAAACGTGTTGGAAATAATACTTGATTTAACCGTTTACAGCTCTTCTGAATGTCTAGTACGACCACATATTCGAAAGAACGCTTTCAGTAAGATATCTTTGCGCTTTTTAATAGCATACTACAATAATGCGTTCTGATCGGGACAGGTAAACACATTTTCCGCGCCATAAGACTCTCCCAGAAATATTTTGTGTCTTATTTCACTTGACCATTTCGTACCATATTCCTTGTTTGGTTTTCGTTACCAACATTATCCCCCTATTGATTTTCTCCCATCGCTTATGTGAAGCGTAGCAACGAGTAAGTACACATCTAAGCTATACGTTTGTCTTTTGAAGCAGTTAGTCATACTTTCTGGCTGCTTTATGTGATACCTCTTAATCCCTAATTTTCTTGTAATTTTTAGGGTTGTTAAGGAGGAAATATTCGAAGATAACGCTCCACTCCCTTGTTTCAATGGTCGTGTCGTTTCTTGGGTATGTATACGCATTATATTTATTAAATCTTATTTCATTGATAAGGTTTCAGATATGCAGTACTTAGTTATTTTCTCGATGTCAATTTATTTCATGACAAAGTTAGAGAAGTATTCAGACTAGACAACCTTATCATACCTCACTGTTAGTTAGGAATAAGGAGGAAAGCGGTTATTAAAAGGATTTATCTAAGCGTGATGTGTGTAAAATCTCAAACCAAATTTTATAGCTTGAGTTTTCGTAGCATATTTAACTTCCAAATTTACCTCAGTTGCCATTTCATGTGGTTTGATCTACTCCATACTGTCGTTCTCCGCTCTCCTGTCAAAATTTTGTGGTGGATGAACATAGTAAAGATGTGGGCTATAAGCTTATACACTTGATACAAGTAGTAAGATATTCAGACTATCTGTACTTGCTTTTATTTGGTAAAAATGCTCTGACGCTACATTAGTGAAAACTTACTAATGTGAAAACTTAGCCTCCAAATGCCCTGGTACGGCCGAGAGTGGGGAGAGTCCGCTCTCCCTCTCGAAATACTCTCACACGGCCACGCGTATATAGCCTCTGCCAGGGAAGTCCTACTCACTGCCTTCTCGTGGCGGGGGTGTTGTTTACGAAAATGAGAGGACGAAAAGCGAATGTCCGGCGCTTTAACCGGATTCCAAACCAATGGTGCACATGGGCTCCAGTATCCTGCGTGAACGAATGGCGTATGAACCAATTGTTGGTCACCGGCTTCCATGGGACTGCATCTCCTTACGATGCTCCACTGCCTTGTGGATCAGACCTTCAGGTCGAAGGCTCGGGGTGTGGCCCCGTAAGAAAACCACCTGCTTCGGTTTGGGCACCCGGGCAGTATCACAGCCCTCACACATATCGAATGAGATTTGTGTGGCGCATATGTATTTGGTGCCTCTTCGTACCATTATCTATGTGTTGAAATAAATAAATAAATAATAAAAGTGAAAACTTATGTATTTATTGTGCTAGACACAATGTCCACATATCCAGAACTCCATTCCTAGGTGTATTAATAAGATTGTTAGCATACCTGGCATGAATGCTACACGTGTAATGTAACCCCTGGTTCCATTTGATATTAGTTGTTAGTTGACTGTCATCATTCCCTAATACCCCTGCGTCTAACCCCACTACCTACCCGGTGATCCCAGCAGATGCTGGCAATATTTCTAATAACATTTGTGGTCAAATGCTAGTAACTTACGAGTATCTTCTACTCTTAATGGTCACGTTTCGCGGTCGTGAAGTAAAACAGAACAAACTACCGCGCAATATACTCGTCCCTTAATTCAGTCAGTCAGTCAGCTACAATATAGGACCAGGCACATATATGCATCAGTCCAAGTTGCCATACTTCATTAACACAACAAGATGAACACTGGATTCATATAAGTAGTTAATTCAGAGGTGGTAATATATAAAGGAAATATTGCACATAAGGAGATAATACAAGAAAGAATTAGTTCGTAGAAAAATATGAAACGATTTTCATTTCATAGTTTAAGAGAAGACAAAGAGTGTATACACCTACACCATTGTGATCGATTCTGAACCACGTCACCAAGAGTCTCCAACCATTGGTTATGATAGTCATGCAGACCCAACCAAGTAGTCTGCATCTACCAACATGGCTTAGACTAAAAGTTAGTGACTTTAAGGACTGATGCCACGTTTTGGTTTGACTGCCCCTAACTTTCTTCCATCCGTCTCCAACACTATTCAGCATTGTGCATCGTGACCGAACCATCTCAGTCGGTAAAGATTCACAACCTCATCAATTGATTTGCCACCATTCCCTAATACCCTGTGTCTTACCTCATTATTACTTACCCGGTGATCCCAGCAGATGCCAGATATATTTCTAAGGCATCTGTAGTCAAATACTAGTAGCTTACGAGTATCTTCTACTCTTAAGGACCATGGTTCGCTGCCGTAAATTAAAACAGAACGGACTGCCGCGCAGTATACTCGTCCCTTTATTGATAGACGGATATCTCGCCTTCGCCATAGGTGACGTAGGTCGGTGAAAGCCGAACGGGATTTTCGAATCCGTGCTGAGATTTCTTCAGACACTAACCCATTAGGGCTGATCAGACTTCCAAGATAAGTGAAGTTTTCAACGCGTGCAACTACTTCACTCCCTATACTTTAACTTATCAGAAGTATTCGTCAATTTTTTGGAGCAATCAAATTTTGTAATGCTGTTTCTTATAAGCATCAAATGATTTTCGATGATAATGGTGTCAAAATCTGGAATTTACTGTTCTACTTTTAAAGGTGTTATAACCAGCGTCATAGCTTGTCTTATACACAGAGTCACTAGTTACAATTTGACTTTGTTTTTCTGCTCTCCATTTTAGTTGGTGACTACAGATGAAAGTATAGCATCTGATCCAGGTGTTCTCAACCCCTCTGTTGAGGCAAACGCTATTGTAAATAGTAGTAAATATGATCCTAACCTTGATTTGGAGTCAAATAATACGCGGTAAGTTTGCTAATATATATATATATATATATATATATATATATATATATATATATATATATATAATTTCAGTTAGGTCATAAGTTTTGAATAGTGTAGCGACGTATTCTTATCTCTAACTTAGTTGTGACTCAAGAAGTATTTGGTTTTGCACTGTTAGTCAGCCGAATATTTTGCCTATGAACAATAGTCGTGAAATTGTCAGCCTACATGTTCACTTGCTTTTCTTTTAACTTGATTTCAGTTTTGTAACAAGTTTAATTCGACCGTCAACTTTATTCTGTTTTGAGAGTGTTGATATGGAAACCGACCTAAGTCAAAAGTATCTTATGAATACTTGGGATACCAAACATTTGTGAACCATAAATCAACAAACACGTAAATCTGTAATCTTCACGGTCAATGTGTAGTGAATACAAAGTGCAGGATATCAAAGAAAGATATGTAGATTTTCACTGGATTTATGGTATTATGAATGAAGTGATCTACAAATAATGAACTTGAGTGTTCTCATTTTGTGTTACCATAGGTACACGATCACAGTATCTTCATATACCTATACCCAAAGTTTACAAACTTGTGCCGAAATTGTTCATTTACATGCATAATTCATGAGCTTAAATGTCACTCCTGTCATAAATCCTAATTCTTCTTCAATACTTGTTGCTAGGATGAGAAATTGTGTTTCTGGTGTTCGTACTGCACTACTTTCAGTTTAAATTGACACATTTCGATTATGATTCTCGGAGTATCTGCTAGCTTTTTGTTATTTGTAATAGCACACGAAAGTGTCCGTTGAAAACTAATCTAGTTAATATAAACCAATAAATAATTATTTATAAAATCTACTTTACCCCCAAATGCCTTGGTACGGCCGAGGGTGGGGAGTCCTCTCTCCCTCTCTAAATGCTCTCACATGGCCACGCGTTTATAGCCTCTGCCAGGGAAGTTCTACTCACTGCCTTCTCGTGGCGGGGTTGTTTATGAAATTGAGAGGACGAAAGGCGAATGTCCGGCGCTTTAACCGGGTTGGTGGACATGGAGAGTCCACCTAGGGGAGTTAGAAAACCCTGATTCCGAACCAATGGTGCATATGGGCTCCAGTATCCTGAAGGAACAAATGATGTATGAATCTATTGTTGGTCTCCGGCTACTGTGGGACTGCATCTCCTTACGATGCTCCATTGCCTTGTGGGTCAGACCTTTGGGCCAAAGGCTCGGGGTGTGGCCTCCTAAGAAAACCACCTGCTTCGGTTCGGGCACCCAGGCAGTATCACAGCCCTCACACATATCAAATGAGATTTGCGTGGCGCATATATATTTGGTGCCTCCTTGTACCAATATCTATGTGTTAAAATAAATAATAAATAAAATCTACTTTACAACTTTTTTGAAAGCAACAACGAATGCAAAATCAACTCTTGTGTACTTCAGTCACATACGACCGCTGCTCCAGCTGATTCTACTTCTGCAAACCTGGGTCATGGAGGAAATATTGGAAAAAATTACGATACAGAAACGGAGTCTGTACATAGTGCTAACCAAGGTTAGTTTTTATTTTTTAGTCAACATCTGCTTGTTACGTCATTTGTTAAAGATGGATAAACTTGGATTTTTTTCAGTGACAATACAAACCTCTTGTAGATGATTAAAGTTGTAAGCGATTTTCGTTTTGTTAGTATAGGGCTGTGGAGATTGTTGAGTTTTAATTGAGATTATAAACCGATCAATATTAGACCACCATTGAAAACCCGGGGGCACTGAATGGCCACTTCGTTCTAATGTGGAACTTCTCAGCAGTGCTCATCCACGGTCCCGTAAGCGCGACTCGGTCTCAGGAGCCTCAGTCTCGTGCGCGAGCGCTCAACATCTAGACCAATGAGCTGGCATCCAACGGTGTTGGTCTCTAGATTCAATCAACACACGATATTTAGCAACCGTCTTCCATTACCTTCAGTGGGTAACTGCCTCACAATTGACATGGTTGAACTACTCGTTTCGGTTCGTAAATGGTACTCACAACTGGTGATTATTTTCATCTTGATTGTCTAGTATTCATTGACCATGACTTGTCCCAAATCAGAACTAGGACTGGGCGGGAACAATCTAAATTCCAATAAACCCGGGCAACAAAAGTTAGCATTGAAAACATTTGAGTTTATATGGAATCTACATGAGTCTTCTGGTATCTTCTCGATTCGTTCTCTGATATTGATTATTTTGGAGATGGACCAATCAGCGTAATCCGATTCGTGCCCGACCTGAGGATACAATAGTCATCTCATTCGATATGTGTGAGGGCTGTGATACTGTTACTAGTAATGAACATGTAACACTTAAGTCACTAGCTCTGTTATTAGAATGATTTTAAGGGTTGTTTACCTCTCATTGTTGTTGCCTGGACACGTTGTTCAACTGAATAATTAGTCCTGGACCATTATCTACGTATTATGTCTTATGAAGTGTTAATTTATGTAGTATAATAACTAACTATTGATCACGTATTATACTGTATGGGCTTGTTCTGCTAACATCATAGTGTCCTCTTATAGAGTATATCTTTATGATACTTAAGCCTGTTACCCCCGTGGAGGAGCATAGGCCGCTCACCAGCATTCTCCACCGAACTCTATCGTAGGCAATCCTCTCCCGTTGCTATTCATCCTTTTGGTGTAGATTTCTAATTCTCGACACAGTGTGTTCTTCGGTCTTCCTCTTTTCTGCTTTCCTTCAGGATTGCTAGATAGTGCTTGCTTCGTGATGCAGTTTGATGACTTTCGCAATGTATATCCTATCCACTTCTAAGGTCTTTCCCCAATTTCCTCTTCAAATAGAAGTTGGTTTATTCTCTCTCACAGTAGGTTGTTGCTGGTGGTATCCGACCAGCGGACATTGAGTATGTTGCGTAGATAATTGTTTGTAATTACTTGTACGTCTTTGACGATGGTTGTGGTAGTTCTGGAAGATGAAGCTCTGAACAGTTGAACTGTCTTGACGTTCGTATCGAAGATTCCGACTTCGATGTTGGCCGATAGTCGTTTTGAGTTCCACATGTTATTCAACTGTATGAATGCTGTCCTTGTTTTGCCGATCGTTTCGTTTACATCTGCACCGGATTCTCCTTGTTCATCGACGATGCTGCTGACCAGTTACATGTAAGTTTTCACCTGTTCCAGAGTTTCCCCATCAAGTGTGATTGGATTGGTGTTCTTCGAGTTGTATTTGAGGATGTTGCTTTTTCCCTTGTGTATGTTGAGACGTACTGATGCAGAGGCTTCCATTACAGTGGTTGTCTTGACCTTCATTTGTTTGTGTGTATGGGATAGGAAGACTATATCATCTGTGAAGTTCGACTCGTTTAGTTGCATGCAAGCTGACGATTGTATTCCGTGCTTATTTTGAGATGTGGAGGTCTTCATAATCAAGTCAATCACTAGTAGGATGAAGAAGGGGGAGAGTAGGTAGTCTTGTCTGACACCAGTCCTCAATCAGAGTATGTCTGTCAACTGTTCTACCTGCATGACTTTGCAGTGTCGTCTGTCGTATGAATTTCGCATGGTGCTGACGGTCTTCTCAGGCACACAATCGTGTGGGAGAAGGTTCCACAAGGTCCTCCCCTTCACACCACCAAACTCCTCTAGTTAAGGAGGTTGGTGTTATTTATCTATTTGAACATATAAATATTGGTACAAGAGGGCACCAAATATATATGTGAGGTTAGATGCAGGGTATTAGGTAATGATGGTAAATCAGTTGATGAGGTTGTTAATCTTCATTGACTGAGATGGTTGGGCCACGTGTTACGTATGCCTGAACATCGATTACTACGTCGTGCAATGCTACCGGTGTTAGAGATAGTTGGAAGAGAATTAGGGGCGGCCAAACCAAAACGTGGCATCAGTGCTTGAAGACACTAACTTCTAGTCTGAGCCATGTTGGTAGATGCAGACTACTTGGTTGGGGTCCGCGTGACTTGCGTAACCAATGGTTGGAGACTCTTGGTGACATGGCTCAGAATCGATCACAATGGCGTCGGTGTATACACTCCCTGTCTTCCCTTAAACTAAGAGATTAAAATCGATTCATATCCTTCTTTCTACGAACCAATTCTTTCTTCTTGTACTATATCTCTATATGCAATCTTTCTCTTATATATTACCACCTTTTACCTAACCACTGTTATGAATCCGGTGTTCATCTTGTTGTGCTGATGCGGTATGGCAACCTGGACCGATGCACATATGTGCTTGGTCCTACGTTGTAACTGACTGACTTGCTGTGCTAACGAGGTATAGCAACCTGGACCGATGCATATATGTGCCTGGTCCTATGTTGTAGCTGACTGACTGATATATGCGCTACACAAAGTGGGAATAAAAGCGAGTGAATAAATGACGTAGTAAAAAAAATAATAGTGTGGATTGTCTGACTTTTGATCGAAGCGAGAATAGTATTTTCGGTAAATATCGTCATTTCATTCTAATTGCGTGTTAGCTAAGATACTGCCTGGGTGGCCAAACCGAAGCAGGTGGTTTTCTTAGTAGGCCACACCCCGAGCCTTTGGCCCAAAGGTCTGACCCACAAGGCAATGGAGCATCGTAAGGAGATGCAGTCCCACAGTAGCCGGAGACCAACAATAGATTCATACATCATTTGTTCCTTCAGGATACTGGAGCCCATATGCACCATTGGTTCGGAATCAGGGTTTTCTAACTCCCCTAGGTGGACTCTCCATGTCCACCAACCCGGTTAAAGCGCCGGACATTCGCCTTTCGTCCTCTCAATTTCATAAACAACCCCGCCACGAGAAGGCAGTGAGTAGAACTTCCCTGGCAGAGGCCGTAAATGCGTGGCCATGTGAGAGCATCTAGAGGGGAAGGGCGACCTCTCCACACTCGGACATACCAGGGCATTGGGGGGGGCATGCGAGTCCACGATCCCGCTCCGCGGGTTTCGAACTCAGGACCTGTCGGTCTCGCGCGCGAGCGTTTAACCACTAACCTACCGAGCCAGAAGTGCCCACAGCACGAGACCTCGCCATTTCTTGCGGAATCCAGCCTGTTGATCTCGAAGATTGACGTCTACTGAATCTTTCATCTAGTTCAGCAACACCTGAAAATTTTTCCAGGTACTGATAGCAGTATGATGCCTCTGTAGATCTCACATTCGTTCAGATCTTTTTGGTGTGTTAATGAGATACCTTACTTTCCAGTCTGTCATCATTTGTTCTTCCTCCCAAATCTTGAATAGAACGTGGAGCATGTTTGCAGTTGTTTCTCTGTCTGACTGTATTGCTTTAGGTAGTATTTTGTCAGGTTCTACTGCTTTTCCACTCTTGATTTGTCTGATTGCCATTCTGATCTCTTCGGTTGTTGGTGGAGTGATATCTATAAGAAAGTCTGTGTGTGCTTCTTCGATTTGCGGTGGGTCCAATGGGGCTGGCTTATTTGAGAGTTCTCCACAGTGTTTTACCCATCTGTTCCTCTGTCCTTGAATCTCAGTGATTGGCTTGCCTTCTTTGTCTTACACTGGTCTATCTGGTTTACTATATTTCCCTACCATTTTCTCCGTTGCGTCATATAGTTGTTTGACATTTCCTTCTGTTGCAGTTTTTTTCCGCTGTGACTGTTAGGTCTCCCACGTATTTCCGCTTGTCAGCTCGAATTGTTCTCTTCACTTGCTTGTTTGCTTCTGTGTATTCAGGGTGTGCCTTGACTTTCTTCTTGTTCGGCTGTTGTTGTTAGCTGTTTCCTTGTTCTTCCCTTCAAATCACAATGAATGTTCTCCAATGTTATCCACTCATTAATGATAACAATGAAGACGACGAAGAGCAGTTTTATGAAAGGCTGAAACCGATTATAGCGAAGTGCTCAGGAAAGGACTCGATCATCCTGATGGGAGACCTAAACATTGGAATGCACAACACTGGGTATGAAGATATCATGGGACGACATGGACTGACAGTGGTCTTGAGTACCTCTAACAACACTCACAACTTAAGTCAAAATCACGTATATGAAAAACACTTAGTTATAACAAATCATATGCTGAGTATAGTTCATGTTAACTTAATGCAAGAATATCGTATGTTATACAGAATAAAATGTCATACGGGAAAACAAAACAAATACTATATTGAGCAATCGTCACATTGAATTAAAACGGAATTAATGTTTAACAAAAATCATGAGTAAATCAATCTGATTTTGACAATTTGCATTTAGAGGGGAAGAGACACATTCAAAACATCCTGGTATTGTTGCTCAGTGCTACCAAAAGACTGCATTTTGTCAGCGTCTTCACCAAACAACACTATGTCATCTGCGTACTCTTCTGGTAAGAGGTCAATTTCCGAGAAATCAGATGATGAGGGTAGTTGACAGCCTTGTCGGACACTACTTGAGGTTGCGAAATCTGATGACAGTTCGCCATAAGCTCTGACTCGTCTAGTAGTTTTCAAGGTTCCAGAAAATTAACGAACTAAGAATAGTGATAACAAGTCAGGAAAGAGTAAAGGCCTTGCAGAAAATTGAGTTAAATAAATAGCACTTGCAGTTACCGTTACTAGTAACAAAAATCGATCAGTTTCATGATCGCCTCAGTCAGTCAGTCATTAATCCAACTTCATTCTCAGGTTCCTGAAGAAATACCCTTCTACAGTGTGGGCAGCCGGGAAGTGATCATTCAGTTAGTAACAACATAGAACTTCGTACGTACGTAAATCAGTTCGAGTCGCCACACCACATTAGCACAGAGATGCAGTTGTCGATTCAAATCCTGTAGTGGCAGATGCGGTAAGAGTATAAGCAGTAATAGGAAAGATTAGGGTTTGAAGATGTTATTCAAGGAGTATAATCCAGTGAAATAAATTTGGAAAGAGAAAAAAAGAGACAAGGAGGATTCAGAAGATTAGAATTTGGGAGAACATAAAGAGTGGAAGCACCTGCACCATTGCAAACGATTTCGAGCCATATTATTCAGGGTCTCTAACCATCGGTTGCTATCATCTCGCGGTCCCCAGCCAGGTAGTCTGCACTTACCAACATGACTCAGTTCACTTAACAGTGACTTCATGGACTTGTGCCATGTTCTGGTCTGGCCGCCCTTAGCTTTCCTCAAACCTACGCCTCAGTAAGGACAAACAAAAACCACGTAGTGACGTGTACTAATGTTTAGTATTCACTAACTTTTCTTTTTGAACATGCACTTTTCGGTGATATTCATCCCATTATCTGAAAATCAAACTATCATCATGCATCTACTTAGAATTATCTTACTTTTAGTCAGTAATGGTCCAGATGACAGAGGCTGCTTGTTTATTCTTCTCACACTTTCCTATATGACAGGATTCATAAGTACTTTTATTATTAAAATCAGAATACACATTTTCTGTTATCTATCTATTTACTTATGTTCAATTAATATAATAGATCGCATTGCTCCTCTACGGAATTTTCACAATTATAAATCTAGTAAGTTTCCCATATTTATCTTATTAGTATTTTATGAAATTATGTTAGTAGTAAAAATAATAGTTTTCCTGTCCGTTCTCATTATAATAAGTCTGTCGAATGATTCTACTTTATGCACCCATAAGTTGATAATTTAACATTGTAGGACTGATTATTTTATTGAGATGCCTATTTAGAACAATCTTAATCTTTCCTACTTCTTAGGTTGATCGATGTAACATTTTTAGCTTTTATGTTAAATGGATTTATATCTGAATCACTTCACTTTTATAGTCGGCTATTCATCATTTCCTTCTCTTTTATTCAACATGACGTATTTTTACTGATGTATGTGCTCGACAACTATCCTGAAAAAGCAAAATCTCCCTTTTAAACGTATGTTTTCGTTCTCAGTCATCTTCATTAACGTGTATCTTGTGCTGTTAAAAATGAAGCAAATTGGATTACTGCTTGTTTGCTTTAAGTTGTTAGGTTGACCTGGAGTAACTGTTCTCAAGTTAAATGTTTTGGGTTAACTCTTAATGAATTTGCTACTCAATAGAAAGAGCAATATTTAGGTTTATTTATTAGGAATTTTAATCCATCTAACAGTGGTACGTTTATGGGATAAGCTAATAATTTGCAACTCTGGTATACAAATACGAAGTTTTATAGACTTTTACTCCTTGTTTCCCACTTTTGACCTTAGAAGTTCCAGCTTTAAATTATCAACAAAACGTTCAACTTGTCCATATAGTTGTGAATGATTCTAATGACGAATTCACATAGTTTATTGAATGACAGTGGTAAAAGTCTTCGAATTATTCTGATATGTAGCGAAACTTTATCTGATACCATAGTGTCTGACAATTTTTTTTACCTCGGAGACTTTCTGTCAATACTCGAAGAGAGCTTTGTTGATGAACTGTGGTGGCATGGGAAAATTTCTGGTCATTTTGACTAGGGACTCACGAGAACCAGATATTTGATGTCATTGCTAGGCTCTCTAAATCTATGTATTCTGGACTACGGGTCTGCAAGTTGTGATCATGTGACTGGCGATACTCGACTGTCTAGTTTTGTTGCTTTCTGGCACTAAGCAGCTGTTAACAAATTTTGCGATCTGTTGATTCATGAAAGGTCAGTGGGCAAAACTCCACTTAATAGACTTCATACGACCAATACACGGGTGACCGCTGTCAAATTAGCATAGGATTCAAGGGTGGAGAGATCTGGGTACAAGTTAATTTTATTCTGTTACTGTTTAGTTTATAATGGCTAGTATTTCTGTTTATGGAATGTTTTGAACTTCTAGGCTTTTGTCTTGAGAGTATAACTAGTATAAAGTCAGTCTTTCTCCTAAGATGTTGGCTGATGTTGATGATTGTTGCACTACTGTTGACTACTGAGTATTTAAAAAAAATCATCTGATTTTTTGGAATTTGATTTAGATGAGAAACAATCAGCATGATTTAAAAAAAGCTTATCACTATAATTTAATAAGAATTTATGAATATATTCTCTTGCAATAGTGGTATCTATTGAAAGTCCTTTTTCAGCTTCTTAAGTTTTCTGTTACTTTGCATACATGAAATGATCGTCAGCGGTATAACTTTAATATGACTGTGCACGCGATATGTTCCTAAAATATTAACTATAATTTGTTGGTTAAAATTGTTTTACTTACATGATCTCACCATGTACGTAGTTTTGCTTTAAAAGCTTATTTATCTTCATTCATGTTCTGTGATAGCTCATCAAATGAATCTTCCGTGATTCTTTCATTGTTTGCCATTTGTTCTGTGATTTCGCAAAAAATATTACATTTCTTTCATTTTCCTGACTTCGCGCGAATTTCACACTTATGCTTGATTTTAGGTGGTCGACATCACCATACAACGAGTGGTGGTAGTCATATCACTCAACAGACAACTCATAGTGGTTCACGCCATCGTCACTATCGTCATTTGCCTAGTTCAAATACCTATGAAGCTCCTTCAATGATGAGTTCTGATTTAGAATCAACTAGCTTCTTAGACTCAGAAGAAGAATCTAGCAGGTCAGTTACTTTCCGCGTAGGTTTGTATTTTCTGTTTGCACATGACTTCATCTAAAGATCCTGTTAAGGGTCTTTTTTATTCTGTATGGTAAAATTTAAATTATGTTGATGTATTTGTTACTAATTAAAGTTCAAAAATCTATAGTAGGTTTAGATAAGCTTATCTGAGTGATATAGACTAAATTCATAATATATGTCCCCGTAGAACGTTATATTGTTGTCTTCAGGTTTAATAAATAACTTTTTATTTGATTTTGCAAACCAGATTTTCATCAGTCACTGGAACAACATTATCTTCCCGTCGATATGGCCGTGCACGTCGCAGACGAAGACGTAGGCGTCCACCACCAATCAGCCGAGTACGTTTATTCTGTGCAATAATTTTTTTGTTAATTTCGTACATTTAATTTCATACTCATTACTCTGCAATTATCTTAAAATTAGGATTTTTCCACATTTCATTCACTGTTAATGTGACTCTATCAGGTTCAGGTTTACTGCATTCCGTTTTGAGTCACATTTGTAACGTGAGCTTTTTGCTCTACCCCGCTGTCTAAATCGAAGTGGGTTGGGGTTCAAACCTACGCACATGTCGCTAGAAATCGAATACTTTAACCATTAACCTGCCACTCATTATATTTGAAGTAGATTTAATTGACAATTTAACATCGTTAGGGATATCACTCAATGATTAGTCCTCATTGCTAACGAAATTACATGGATAAGTTTTAAATGTAGACGCTAAGTGACATCATGATACAATATGGATGTTGTCATATCGCCGAAATAATCTATGGTTAATCCTGTGCCATTTCAATTGATTGGAAATTATTATTATTATTATCCTATTTTTTGGTGCACAAGTTATGCAACTACACCTCCACATTAGAAATATATTAAATGTCTCCCTATTTATAAATTATTTTGAACTAGTTATCTAAGTTTATGGTCGAAACAGAGAATAATAGTTTTTCTCAGTTTCCTGCTATTTGATTTTGGAAATATCTACAAGTTATTCAGAAGACTTAAACTTTTATTGTGTTCAATCTTTTATAGGCCTCGTCGTTCAGCAGTATTACAGACTCCACCATGTCTTTAAATATTGTGGCAGTTACGTTGAACATGGATATCGTCAATTTCTTGGGTATCAGTATAGTTGGTCAGTCAAATAAATCTGGAGATGGTGGGATTTATGTAGGTTCTATCATGAAGGGTGGTGCTGTCGCTCAAGATGGACGAATTGAACCTGGGGATATGATTCTGGAAGCAAACGGGATTAGTTTTGAAGAAATGAGTAATGACGATGCAGTTCGCACATTACGAGAGCAAGTTCAGCGTCCTGGGTAAGTTCATAATATTGCTTGGTTTCCTAAACAATGAAATTCAGTGTTTAGAACCGAACTGTTTATGCCGTTGTTGAGCAAAAATGAAATTTGTCATCTAATTATATAAACTCCCAAATTATTCGTCCTTGGGACAGATATCGGTTGTTGCTCTATAATATCACTGTTTAATTCTCTCAGATAAAATTCAAAAGGCTTGTTTCTTTTTATTTTAAGATTCATGAAGGGTTGAGGTACGTCTGGAAGTATAAGGTATTCTAATTGGGATGCTATCCATCATCAGGATATGTTTTAACATAGTTGTCATCGAGAGCTAACGAAAACAAACTTTAAATCACGCAAATAAATACTGACTACCTAAGTAAATAATACGATTATGTTTTACAGAACGTTAATTATGTGCTAACTCTCACTTCTTGATATGACGAGATAGCACTTCTGACTTTACAAACATGTCTTTCTATTTATCGAACACGTATACTATGTTTACACCAAACGCTATATATTCTTTGTACACGAAACTGTTATATCCTCAAAATTCTATGTAATGTGTTCTGTTCGTTAAGCGATATATCCGAAGATTTCGTAGGCTTTACTTGCACGAATCATATCTGCCAATGGTATTTGTTACTTTCTTTAGGATGATGTTGTGTTGATATATATACTACCTGTGTCTTCCAATGTTATTTAGTGCATTACTGTTACACAAATAATGGAAGAGATCCTTTGCGCCATTAAAGAAGGAATACAGACAATTCGGCGAAGAAAATCTTTTCATTTATTGAAGCTATACATTCATATTTATAGTTGCTTGTCAAATATAGTAATCCATTGAAAATCAAGAGATTATATCATAAGATGCTTGAAAATTTCAAGTATCACAAGAATATTGGTTGATGTTCCCAAGGTTAAATAGATATAGTAAGATGAAAATGGTTTACGGATCAGACATGTGAGGCAATAATACACTTGACTGATGCGTAAAATAAAAAAATAGGATGTTAATAGTAACTGGATAATAATTATGAAGATTTGGAAGTGATCATCGAATAAAAAGAACTAGAATGTTAGATCGATTGTAAAATGAAACTACACTTACTACTTTTGAACCCAGAGTTCAGGGTTAAAGCACCTTTTTACTAAAACCACTGCAGTTCACAGGTTTCTAATTTATCATATTTTTGATCTTACCCGTTCGACTTTAACAGTAATTTTGAAAGATAATTCTGATCGGGCATCGAGACTAGATTTATTTCATAACAAAACGCAGAAAACATTTTAGAATAGTATCTTTAACCGTAAACCGGTGATATATACTCAATATGTTTAAGTCGTTATATGACTTTGTGGTCAATACAATCGAATTCCTAGCTTATCACAAGTATAATAAATTATGAGGTTTTAAAACCTACTTTGCCTTTGAATGAATTGAGTTTTTGTCTTTTTTATCGGTAGTAAAATTCTGTTTTTTTGTTGTTGTGATTTTCAATGCTGTTTTCCTTAGACCTATTACATTAGTTGTTGCTAAATGTTGGGATCCTAATCCAGCCGAACGTTATTTTACAATACCTCGTCAAGAACCTGTACATCCTATTGATCCGCGTGCCTGGGTGTTACATACCAATGCAATGACCACACCAGACTCACAGGTTCAAAGTAATGATATACATAGACAAGTTAATGGGACTTCCATGACTGGTGCCTCGTCAGGTGGTGAGTCTAGCTCCACTCTTAGTCCCCCTGGTCTTACCCCTGGTATGAGTATGGGCACTTTGACATCAGGGCAAACTTCAATGCCGCTAGGTACAAGTGCAGCAGCGTTCAATATGGCTGCTTTACTTGCAGCCTCTAAACAAAAACAGCAACAAGAACAAGAACATCAGCAGCAACAACATTTACTTCAACAACGAATTCATTTATCACAACCCGCATTTTATCCTGCATCAAATTTATTACTTCCCCATGGTTATACTCAACAGGTAAAGTGTTGATATCAACTAGGATGATATTTCGTTTTTTTTCACTGCTAAATGTTATTTTTTCGTGGGACAGCGTAATTACTGTAAATCATCAAAATTCGAATCTTAACGATCGATGTTTAATTAATTCTTAATTAGCATAAATTTTCAGATCACCGGAAAAAAGATTATTTTTCACAATAATTTTAAAATGAATTTAAAATTTCACTCAGTTGAATGCTCTCATTTCAAAAGGATAATGTGGCGTCTCAGATACTTGATTTCTAACTATTAGGTTATGGTTCTCTAATCTTTTCTAGTTCATATTCCTAGCTGTCACACCATAGATATGATTAAAAAAATACTTTATAAAATTAGTTGATTTCACTAGTACATAATTATCATTAATACGAGATGGAATATCGATGCTAGTACGTATATATCTATCTTATTCAGATTACCTGTGAAGTGATAGGTAATTGAAAAGTATTTCGAGACCAATCGAATTGTTCTCTAAGGCGTTCTACCCACTGTTCCAATATCATAAACTGAAAGCGGATCACTGTCCCATGTTTCTTCGAAATTGTTTCACTAACAGCTGAATTTTTAGTGCCAATCTACATGATGAGTTTGAACAAAGTGTCTAGCATTCTCAATCCCCTCGACTTTCATACGCTTTTCTTCACTTTCATTTCTCAGCATCGCTCTCGGCCCTTATGTAGACTTTTCATCAGTCTTTTTAAGTTGTCTTAATGCTTTATTGCTCCCCGAACATACAGTACGGGTTTCCATGAGTCTATAAATTTACTTTAGGCTTCAGAGATCTATTGGTTGTTTTAATCTCTTGTTTCAGGTTGTTAACAGACGTCACTTTTGTTAAAGCGGACTACGAACCGTCCCAGGTTATCTCAGGTTGAAAACCTCTACTTGATCAACTAAGTGCCTAGTTAGTTCTCTCTTGAATACATCCTTAGTCTTTTCAAATGAAACAAGGTCATGACAATACGTTCATTCACATGCATAAATGTAATATCTTTTCTATTTTGTAGATAATTGTATTTATTCTCTTTACATCATTGATTGTTCATTTGTTTATGATTTAATACTTGTAGATCGCTCCTAGCATTGTTACTGCATCCAGCTCGCTGCCGGAGATTGAACGTTACTCAGACCCCATCCCATTAGGTCTATCGACAAGTATTCCCACTGTTATTCGTGCAATGCTCCAACCTGATTCTGGTCTCGATATTAGGGATCGTATGTGGCTCAAGCTAACCGTACCAAACGCGTTTATAGGTTAGTTGTAAGTTTTTGGATAAGTTTTCATTCGTCAGCCAATTCCTTTTTAGGATTACCGTTTTTAAAGTCTGCTCTACTCCTGCTTTGCCTAAATGTCTAGTGCATGTAACTAGCTTCAAATTGCTCATTCTGTATACAGCTGAAATAAAACGGGTCACAGCATATTTCGTAGTTATTTATTTGGTAACTTTTAATAGATAGTTTAATTTCTTGAAGTTGAGTCAACAGCAGTGTCCATCGGCAGAGTGCATTTTATTTAAGGTGGTACGGTTGAAGAGTTTGATATCACTTTAATAAATCTGATAAGATTTTTTTGTTTTTGCTGGTGTTGGAGTGTATAACTATCCATAGTTTTCATAATGTTTTTCGAGGTCGAATAGCTGGGACAGTATGGTTTACTCAAAGACTTAGTCAGTCGACATTTAACAATTGAGTCTTAGCTTTAAAATCTACTTCTGATTAGAAATTTATGTAGCTTCCTCAACCTTCGCACATTAGATGTGTTTCAAAACCAAAGATATAGATATATACTAAGTTAAATCAATTCAAGTTTCTACACTGATCTAGATCTCTACATTAAATTTTTAAGAGTATTTCTTCGTTTTTCTGGTAAGTTATGAGGGTTACTTATGAAAGGAGAAAGTCATGTACTTGTATTATTGGCTTCGTTTCTTATCCTATTTCGTCTTCAACAAAATCTTCGGTTAGTAATATTATACGAGTGAATAAACTGTGGGACGATAACTTTTTGCGATTCACTTTAATGGTCCTAATTGATGTCCTTTACAACAATTATTTATCGCATTTGGAACACTAGGCTTTCACTAGTTTGACTGATTAGAATAATTTCGTCTGTTAATTAAGTTAAACTCTACTCGAAAACGAATGTTTCAAAAGGTTTAATGATTAAAGATATCAATTATGTGTGATGTATCATTCTGCAAATAGACCGTCACTGTAATTGTTATATTCAACGTTGTGCCAGTGCCATCACTTTTTACGCATTAAATTATCTGCTGCGACATTTTTTCTTCTTTGTCATAGTTTTCTAATGAACGTGGTTTTAAGATTTATTTGTTATTTCTTATTCCTACAAACAACATTTTGAAGAAGATTTATGCGTACATACTTTAACGTTTTCATTCACTGATATATTTCAGTTTGTCTTTTTATTAGTTTCACGTCGTACGATTTTTACTTCACCCTCAAGGTTCTGATCTAGTTGATTGGCTTTTCCGTCACTTGGATGGTTTGACCGATCGCCGGGAAGCCCGAAAGTATGCATCTAATCTGCTCAAATTGGGATACATTCGGCATATTGTAAATAAGTTAACTTTTTCGGAACAATGTTACTATGTCTTCCGGGATATAAGTGAACGTAAGCATTTATCTTACTCTTTTATTGCTCTACTTTTGTTAACATATTACGCACTTAATACGCATAATCTGTAGGATATTTCCATTCGTTCTCTTGAGAGATTTAATTTTTTTTACAGAGGTTAGAGTATTTATGTCTTTTCTTAGTTAACACATAATTTGACTAAACCTAGTGTGCTATTTAGATCAATTTTACCTCATATTCTATTTTCATTACACTACGTCTCAATCCCACTCCCAATAGCCAGAAAAATATTATGGTGCATATTTTTCTTGTTTCATGAATAAAATTAATCAATATATCTTCTTTATTAGGGTTTTGAGCCTATTGGAAGCACTAAAATAAAAAGTCGTAGCAATTTAAACAAGTTGTTTCAGTATGAATAACCATTTCTTACTTTTGATTGGTTGCGTTTCATTCTGATATATTAAGTCGTATATTTCTCTTCCCTATTCGACCTGTTGCCGAAGTCAGTAAATTTTGTCAGCTAATAATTTTTTACCTTCATATTTTTCAGATATGTCTTGCTTAAGCCTAGAAGAAGTTGATAGTGTCAGTGAAGTTGGTGCACATTCTCATCCCAATTGGGGGCACAACACAACAAGTACTAGTTTAACTGTTAGGGCTGGTGCTAATGGTAGCATGCCCGATTACAATCCGGGTTTTGCTGGATCTCATGGAATCGGAGCAGCAAGTAGAGAAGGGAATAGCAGTCAGTATAGCACCGTCCCACCGATGTATCATCCACCAGCTCCGCCTCTTGCTGCTCCTATTCGCCAGTTGATCGCAGACGGTCAAAATGTAGCTGCTAACGCAAATCTCCAGCAGCCACACACTGGGCCACGATTGAATAATGGAAATAGAGATAATATTTCAGGTTAGTGACAAATGTGTACCAAGTTTTATAAAACTGTCTACTGCTATGCGAATGAATGTCCCTAGTCATCAATAGTAATTATGTCCAACAACATTCTGGGATTTGAGGACATAATGTGAAGCTTATTACTTATCTCAGTTGAACCAATTATCAAACACTGGTCATATCCAAGGAATCAAAGGCATTAGTGCTAAAGTTTATACTGTTTCGTAGTTGGTAATTACTGATAACTTTACTGCAATGAACATTGATTTGTATCATTTCTGCACATTAAAATAAACCCTGTTTATTTCAAGATTCATGACAAAAACGTGTTTGCAGATAACCATGATGCTCATTGCTTTGTTATTCCTCGTAACAAACTAATTTTCCGATAGTTTTTATGTTTATTCAACAGTTTTTAACACAATTTTGTTACAAATAAGGTGAAATACTACCGAGTAACGTTTCACATCATTTGCAATTATTCCCTTCATCGTGTTTCATTTCTAATGTACTTAGTATTTCCTCGTTTAAGGGTATTTAAATTATAAGTATCTTTTACTCGTCTTCATCTACAAGATATTCATTTCAACTGTTTAATGAGCAACTAATGATCAACTGCGTTAGTTTTCTGCAAAAACCTTTCATGATATTTGTTACTTTGAATCGTATTTAATACTTGACTGAAAGCGTTCCCACTTAAAGTCACGGGCTCAGTTAATCAACGTTGATTGTTATCTTCAAAATTATCTGTTAAAATTAAATTACTGATTGCTTTTCACTTTTCCATCGTTTCATATTTTCATGTATCTACACTCATTAAGCCTTATGTTTTCCAAATATATTATTTAAATTACAGTCCACAAAATTTCTAGGGATTTTCGACTGTAACCATTAGTTTAGATGTTACTTAATTTTTTAATGGTTTTTTGTTTCCTGAATTCCACTTTTTCAGGCTATTCCAGTTCAACGTCTAGCACAAGTAGTGAGTCAGGTCATTTCGCTCATGAAATTCCTGGACATACGAAATCGCGCCCCAAAGAAACATCCGCATCAAACCACATTGGGGTTCAGGGATTCAGCCATTCTAGACAACAAGATTCAGTTTTACCAAATGTACGGTCACTAAAACAGCAACATTCCCAGTCAAATTCTAATTTGGCACAAAGTCTCTCTGCTACTGGTGGTGCTGCGGGCAATCAGTCTAGATTAAGACCTCCTTTTTATTCTAATGGTAATGATCTATCTCAACAGAATGAGCTTGCAGCATCATCTACAGGATCTAGTTCAACTTCTTTTGGAAACCCAAGACAGAATGTTCCCACTAATAATTCTGATAGCAAGCAACACCAAACACAGGAATCAGTTAAACGAGATTCTATGCTGAGTTCGAAAAGTAGTAGCAGCAGTAGCTGTACTCCGTTAAATGCAAACATGCAGGAAACGCGACTGTTCAATTCACATCGGCTATCTCATATGTCAAATCACCAAAATTGTGCTCCCCCTCCTCCTCCACCACGAATTTCAACTGCTGTTTCTGGTTTCACACTCACAAGTCATCCTTAAACAGTAAGAATTGTTATACTAATTCTCCTCATTTGGCGTCGGTATTTTGTGGTTAGGTCTGAAATCAGCACTGTCTCTAAAGTGGTTTGTCGAGTGTTCTCAGTAGCACTTAAAATAGATTCTGGTCAGCTAGATGCGTGAACCTGTTTCTACTTAGTTGATATCTAATCTGAGTGAGCGGCAATTATTTCAAGTCCATTGTTATATCATACTCATCCACTAACAAGTGATATAAATTAATTATCTAAATCATAACTAATCAGTCGATAACACAACACTTAACACAATATTTTGTTTATACGCTAAACATAAGTGACTCACTAGTTGCACTGTATCAATATAGTTACTCAGACAGTAATATCATAGTATATGTTGATTCATATCAATGACACAAAATCGAGTACAAGGATTTAAAACCAGTGTTAAATTTTTAGATTAGACTAGCTCCCAGACAATGGACACTACTTGGTTGATGCTTTACCCTTTCAACTAAAATCACTGATTTTTATCTTGTGGTCCTTAACTCCCCTCTATTTAATGGTTGCACCGGTAGTCATTAGTAGAACTTCCAGTCACCATTTAATCTAAACATGTAACATATTTCAAATTAATGTGTTAATACGAGTTCACTATTCAATAATACTACTCAATGCTTTAGTTCGATTGTAAGAAAGATTAACTTTAACCCAGTAACTATTGAATCACTTTTATCTTACATCTTTCTGTGAAATGCTCCAGGACTATTTGCTTATAAATAAATTAATTCCTACTTATTTGTTGGAAAAACTATATATATATATATATATATATATATATATATATATATATGGCGCTCACAAAAGTATATATTTCTGTGTGTTCATTAAGCTTATTTCAGTGCATAAAGTATACTGTTGATTCATCTGTTTTTCACTCGTCTCGGAATTTCTATCTTTAATTCGCCCGTATCTTTTTGAGTATAAAGCCTGTTTATGCTTATAAAGAAACATTACACTATCGTTTGTCCTCTTTTAGTGAAATCTGGAAAAACAGAAATACCGTGGTTTGGAAAGATTTTTCTACCTCATCTCATCTCTTCTCGAAGGTTTCCAAAGAGATATAATTATTTTGACCACTTCGTTGTAATTACAGTGATATGTGATACTCGGATTTCCATAATATAACCTCATTTCTTCACAAAGAAGCTCATCCTCAACTCAGGCCATTTTTCCAAATTTATATTCATAAAAGTTTTCTCCCTAATATATAGTTCACTCACGCGTTAAGTTGTATATTGTGCAATCATTAACATTTTAAAATACCCTTTTTGACAAAATGATGTCAACTCTTCTTGTAATCAATCTCATAGTCTACCTCGATGTATTGTTTATCATTTATCTAGTTACAACTTATTATCTTGTTCTTGAAATGAACTCCCATATTACATATTATGTACCAATCCTTCGTTTTTATCTCATTTCCTTTCTTTCTCAACTAACAGAATATGCTTTATTTAACCGTATTATTCAGTTACCTACTCCAGAAATAATTTTTTTCCTTAAATTCAGTTGTCGTTACGTATAATATTTGATTGATATTTGAATCATTTACAATTTTTAAATTAAAACTTTCTAACTAATTCGCTCTTTTATTTCGAGTATTTCATTCTCTTATTAGTACAGAAATCGTATTCATTTATTTATGTTAATGCAAGTAATAATGGGTTTTGTAAGTTTCTTGGTGTATAGAATTCTTAATGGAGGAATCAGAGCGCATTGATCTACTTATGTCGAATTTATACTAGTTAAGGCACCTATGTTACTGAGTTGGTCTTGGTTGTTATATTTCAAAAACAACTCAGGAAAAGAGGATTAATAGTGGTGACCAACGTATTCCAGAAAAATATTTACAAACCGGCCAAACGTCGGAAATATAAAGGAAGATTAAAAATAAGTGCTACTTCACAAGTGAGTTTTCAAATTGCTAGGTCCTGTTACATTTAATTTGTAATGGATGCTTTATTTCGTTTTCGTGGTGATTCTTTTAGCTGGTGTTCATCTAATTTATCTCTCACTGTGAGCTATTCTCATAAAAAAAATCTTGTTAACTTCGATTCTCGAAGCAAAAGGCTGTAACAATCTTTAATTCAAACTCACAGTCACTTGTTTTTGTAAAGGATAAACGTTAATTGTAAATAGGAGTATTGTCTACTTTTGCCTCTATATCAACACACTGAGAAATCTTTCTGTTATTCATTGTCAACGGTCTTGTTTCTTATTAAATATATACTTAACAAATTTCTGTGTTTAGATAGTCTAACGATGCCTAAGACTAGTAAGACTCTTCGTTTCAGTGAGGATGTCTCTAGTACTATGTTTAACCCTTGATGTTCTCAACTTACTGTTAAAATCGGCTACCAAACGTCAATAAAAGCTGATGGACCTCTGAAAAATCTATTTATACTCACTGACACATGAAGTCCCATTCTCGCTGGGATAGTATGATGAGGAAAAAAGTCTAGTTGTGGACACATTGAAGACCTTTATAGTAATCACAAATAAATCTCGATGCTGTAGGGAAGGGGAACCTATATGATGTAACTTAAAAGAAATAACAGAATATTACCGGGAAGTGTTGATGAGCTTTTATGATGATGTGTTGAGTACCATTAAAGACTTAACGATGAACATCCCTAAATTCCCCAAGATCGACATTGAGCGTTTAGCTTATCAAAAGAATGAATAGGCGATTGGTCTTGTGAGTTTTCATTCTGAAAACTACGGATGGTTGTTAGTAGTTACTGGTTTCATTTACAAGTATTGTTTAGTATGTAGGAATTAGTGGTTGGTTTCTTAGCAATTTAATTCGTAATGAGGATTAAAGATTCTCTATTACTAACCACAGTAGGGCTGTCTTGGTGCTTTTTAGGATTTTTGGAGAAGCTGAGTAAGACATGTGTTGGATAAGGCTTGATTCGCTATGAATGGTTTAGTTTAATCAGGCACTACTTATTGGTATTCGATAGTGTAATACTGAGTATTATAAAAGCTTGAAATATGAAATAAAGGTTATTCTATAAATTAATCACTAATTGAATTATTTGGGAAGACATTGGGTTTCTTTATTCAAACGTTAGGAAGCAATGGTTAGATATTGTATGCTTTCAGTTTCCTACGTATTTTGTCGTTCATAAGTTTTACTTACCTTGAGGATCCTAGCTTATGTAATACCGTGGCTATACGCGTACTTTTTCTGGAGCAGTTAACTTGATCAATAATCTTTTTCAGCTCAATCATATCGTCTTGCCGAATATAACTATGTATATTCCACATTACTTGAGCTAATTTCTATGCCATATGCACTACGTAGTTACTAAGCGTTTATAAACTGTTTAACGAGACTGAACTTCTGTTTCATTGTGATTGAATAATATCTGGATTACCATTCAAACTACTCAACTCATTACAAATAATATTGGAAATTCTGTGTTAATGCTGCATATATTCATCCTTTCCTATTAGCATAATCAATTTGTATGGTTTAAGTTCATGAAAGCTTCGTAATTGGCTATTTCTGATTTTCTCATAATTTCATTTAACTGATATATCTATAATAATTATAACACGTAAAGCAAAGGAAAACGATACAATGTTATGCACAAATATCTAACAAAACAATTTTTTACAAGTATGACAATATCATTCACTATTAATTTTTTTTAAAAATATATGATCAAAAGTTTTCGCTAGAGGTATGGAACATAAATGATTAAACTTGGACAAATTAGGTATTTATCATCATGACACGTATATTTAACGTTCAGAAATGAAATGAAACCATTTATTGGAGAATTTAATCATCTTAGTTAATATATATTCACTTTATGCTTTGATCATGTAGGTATTTCAGTAGTAAATGTAGTGAGGATTCCTACCATATGTCACCAATCCTGTGTCATTAAGTACAAGATATTAATATGCCGAACTATGTTACAATCAGTAAACTCATTGAGATATTTTGATTGACGCCACAGTATTCATGATTTTTTTCAACTCACATGTTCCTGTCTACAACACAAAATCACTGATTGGAATAACTTTTCACATTTCAAATATCATTCTGTTTAGCGTACAGAGATAGGCCAAATCGAATAGTTCAACTATAAGATTATACAAATAATATATACTGTAGAAATTTCTTAAGTCTGTTCAAATTCTTTCTATCCTAAGAATAATAAACTTGAGCTTTGTCTTTTTAGTCAATATAATCACTAAGAAAAACAATAAACATTGGATACCAGACTGTGTGACCGTTGCATTTATAATAGACACCACTAAACAGACTAGGGTTTATCAGAAATCTTGAAAATCGATTGAAACTTATTATAAAATGAACTAAACTCCTGAGAAATAAATGAATAGTACAGAAATTCCTGTGTTTTTCATTATTTCTGCCTAATACCATTCTATTTTCCAATAAATAATATCACATTATCAATGCTTCAAAGTAAGTTAAATTACTAATTTCACTAGTATTTCAATCGTATGAATATTTTGGTTAAATTAAGAATATTAATGATGGTCAGATAAATATGAATTCATTTATTTAGCAAATTCTTTTCAACACCTTACAGACTATAAACAATAGTATTAATGAATTAAAAATAAAATAACATACGTATAATTGTGTGAGAAAAGGTCGTGATTTAAAATAGATATGATGCCTAAATGTAAATTATTAAAGGACACTAATTGTGAACGAATTAAAAATTTGTTTAAATGGCTATCTATTTATAAGTTGAATATCTGAATGTTCTAGAAAAGATGACTGTAAAGAGCATAGTAATAGTCTTTCGAAATGAACAAAATAGTGTAATAGTTTATATAATACTTTAGATATCAGAAGTAAAATTGAATACTTGAGTAAACTTCTGATTATAAGTGGAAAATAAAGAATTATAAATATGATCCTAAGTAAAGCGGTTTCTTAGCCTACATCACTAAAACAATGCAAGATTGGTAATTGCCCATTTTTGGATACATAAACTTGTTCTGAATGCCTTTATAACAATTATTCTAGGATAGTATAGAAATTAGGAAAAAATTGTTGACTTTTAATTCTCCTCAAAGTTTCTACCTTTTACTAATCTACATCTACATTTAATACCTATTTTAAATCACGACTTTTCAAATCAATAATACCGATGTTTCTAGTTTGTAAGGAACTGAAAAGAATTTGCTAAATAAACGAGTTCAAATTCATTCTATAGTAATCATTGTGTTTATTCTATTCAAGTTCATAAAAGGATGGAATTGTGTGAAATCCCTGCAGAAAAATTAATTTTTTTTTGGTTTTTAATGCTGATAAATTCTGTTCGTAAATTACGAACTAAGCGATCATTTATCTGGTTTATGTTCTGAATAGATTGCATTGACCGAAAGCTTTTTTCATAAATCTATTATCTGGGTAGTAGACCAATTCCGAAGTGAATCCAAATTGAGGATATGGACAAAAAAGATTAAACTGTTATACAGAATGTACAAAATTGTTGTGGAATGATAATCAAATTCTTACTAGATTATTTAACATTATCATTGTTTTCAAAATATTTAAATGTTTTAGCAAGAACAAAATTACTGCTGGTAACTCCTGAAATATGAGGGGAGAGTTGTTTGTTGTTATGTAGTTCTAGGATTATTTTTTATTGAAATATATTATCAAGTGATTTTTTTCGCATATTGCATACATTTTAAAAAGTTTTTACTTACTATAGATCTTTGCTTCGCGAATAGTGCTCTATCTTCCTCATTACTTAAGAATTCGCTTTTACGTGTATTGATCGATGCGATGCTCTAAAATAGTTAAAAACAAATTTCAAGAGAATTTGTGTTAAATAGTAAAATTGTGGGATTTACACAAATTTCAAGTCATTTTTAAAGTCAACTGATTAATAAAATTCTTTTGGAAAATTGATATATTCAAATTTGACATATAGTCTGAGAATTAATTAATAGTGAGTTGGTTACTCTTTAACAAGAACCGAGGTCAATCTGTGATGAATACCACCCACATATTAAACCAGTCTCCGCAAAACCTTATCAACACTATGATGGCGTGTTCATTAGTTAAGTACTTCCAGATAGGTGATATTGAGAAGCGACCGGTGGAGATTAGATATTTTAGGAGTGAAGCAGTCGCATTAGTGAAGTTAAACGATCGTCTCGCAATATCATGATTTGGATGAAGTTAAGAAGGAAGATGCATTCAGTTCGAATCAGTGATCTAAAAGCAACATGCTCGTCAAGAGACCTGAATGTTCTGGGTTCACTCTATGGTGTGGTCGTGGTTGCACATTTCTGAGTACTCCTCTACTGCAAGGAAACATATTTCCAGTGCTGTATTATCTCATCTGAGATCAATGTATAAAGAATACCGCTTACGAATTAATTTAACCACCACAAAAACTATTTCAGAACTTTATGTTATTAAAAATAATAAATGCATTTGGACAAGATGAATTCATTTGATTACATAAGGTTCTCATCAAATTCATACAAACATTAAGGTCTAAATACTAGAATTTACTGAGTATTCATATAATTTATCATAATAACGGATATTTAAGAAAGAAAACGGTTAAATAAAGGTTTATTAAGGCGGTTCAATCGGAATAATAATAAAGTCACTACCTTTTAAAATGCGGACAAAGTTCACAAGTATTACTTGGGAACTTTAACGAACATTGTATGAAACTGGTTTTAATCACTTACAACTGACATGTAGTTAGAAAACTAAATATACATTAAAGTAGAGTGAGAAATAAAAACAACTATCTTTTAACATAGAATATTTCGGTTATTTAGATGAAATCGTGTTTTCTTTGAAAATATTTATTAATGATTTACTACAATCATTTAAGTGGTATTTTATGTTAATTAATTATCTAATGAATGGATTACTTAAGGTATTTATTTGCCATATTTGATTAAATGGGAATATTGAAATCAATATATTAGTACGATTTTTCAAAATTTATACAATTAATTCCCTTTATGAATTTTACTTATGTCAATTGTTTCATACTATTTCTTACCTTAATGTAAAATTCTAATACAGATTTGGCTGTAAGCAGCTGATGAGAAATGACTAATGAACACATACTAACGAACACATGCTCATTAGTGACTGACTTCAAGATATATATCCTGGAGTTCTAGTGAGAAGTAGTGACCAGTGGAGTTCAACCGGGTCAGTTGTGAGGTAGTAACTCACTGATGAAAATGATGGATGTGTCGCTCAATTTCGTGGATTAGTTGAAGTTAGACATTAACACCGTTGTATGACGGCTCAGTGGTCTAGTTGGTTAGGCGCCTGGCGTGAAACTGACAGGTCCTGGGTACGAATCCCGCGAGGCGGGGTTGTGGATGCGCACTGCTGAGGAGTCCCATTGTAGGACGAAACGGCCATCCAGGTTTTCCATGGTGGTCTAGCTTCAATTGACTCATGGTATCAACTGTTGAAATTAAATGACGAAATATGATGAATTCATATTATTCTGCATCAATATATGTTCTGGTTTTATTTAAATATTAGTACGAGCTGATTAAATGTCATAACTAACAATGTACCTAATATAGGTTATTGCATGAAATGAAAATGTTGCTCACATCATTTGGACTAGGATTTAACATTTTATTATTATCATTATATATTCTTATTAGTAAATAAAATATATGTCACTACAGTACTTGATTTATTCAATCAAGATTTATGGGGTTGGCTATTGTTCAAATTAGGCAGTTGCTATTTTTCTTTTGTTGAAAAAATTCACTTAAGTGTTTTACAAATAAAATAAAAGTTCAATTAAATTTGCATTTTGCTAAGTAACTATTTTTTCCCCAGTGAACCTAAACTTCTTGATGACCTTAGCAACTATTCTTTACTAGATCAGAGAGACTTCATTAATAGTCTTGTAATTATCATTTAAATTGTAAATAATAAATATTTATTATTACATTATTATATCTACTATCATATAAATGCCATGGTATGGCCGAGAGTGGGGTCGGCCCTCCCTCCCTCTCACACAGCCAGGCGTATACAGCCTCTGCAAGGGAAGTCCTACTCATTGCCTTCTCGTGGCATTACTGTCGTTTACGAAAATGGGAGGACGAAAAGCGAATGTCCGGCGCTTTAACCGGATTCCAAATCAATGGTGCATATGAGCTCCAGTATCCTACGGGAACAAATGGCGTATGAACCAATCGTTGGTCACCGACTACCATGGTAATGCATCTCCTCATGATGCTCCACTGCCTTGTGGATCAAACCTTTATGTCGAAGGCTCGGGTTGTGGCTCCCTAAGAAAACCACCTGGTTCGGTCTGGGCACCCAGGCAGTATCACAGCCCCCCCACACACAAATATAGTGTGGCGCATGTGTATTTGGTGCCTCCTTGTACCAATATTTATGTGTTGAAATAAATATAAATAAATAAATATGATTTGAATTTTGATTATTTATCCAAAAATTGGAAAATTCAAATTAATGTAATTAATTTTCATAGAACATTAATAATGGAATTTACAAAATGTAATGAATTCATTGTAGTATTATGAAATTCATATAAGTCAATTGGAATTTTAGAGGAATGTTGATATATATTCCAGATTTGATAGATAATTTATTTATCACCATGGTAGATTTTTAGACAACGGATTAAAATATTGTTTAGACTACATTTATATACAAATTTAGTACACTAGAAAGATAGGAAGATAGAAATCTACATATTTTGTTCAAGGGAATCTAAAATATTTCTTCAATTTTGTTGTTAATAACAGCGATAAATAGTTGATTGTACATCATCTGTTGTACATTAGGTGTGAGGTAAATTTAATAAGTGTAGTGCGTGCTACCGATCTCGACAGATATAAGTAGTATGTGTCACCAATTGAACGTGAAATGCTTGGAGAACGAGAATAGTGAATGATTGCTGTGGAAATGAAGGAACAGTGAAGTTTGAGATGATTGCTCGATATTTGCAAAAGGAACAGTCAATTTTGAGATAAGTGATTGACATTTTGCAAATTAAGTATTTACTGTATAGATCCCAGATTTTATTAACATGTTCCGTAATTTTGTGTTGAAATTCATTCGATTATCCTCATTTGTGTTCTCGTTCACTATACAAGTACATTCATATAATCAGTAAGGAATATAATTTCTAATATTCCTAGTTTAAGACGAGACTTTTTTTATTTAAAAAGAATTAGTTGTCAACTTTTAATTGAACCGTTAACAGATGAGCAATATGAACAACCTTTTTGGCTCTTCTCTTAGCTATGATTATAATGTATTACATTTATCGAAATACTCACCATTAATTGCGTAGTAAAATTATCTCTAATATTTGAAATATTTATGAAACTCATTCCCTCAAAAAAGTTTCATTTCACTTTCGCTTCTAAATTAATTCATTATTATCTTGTGAAATATTCATTATTATTTATTATTTTTATTTTAACACATAGATATTGGTACAAGGAGGCACCAAATACACATGCACCACACTATATTTGTGTGTGTGGGGGCTGTGATACTGCCTGGGTGCTCAGACCGAACCAGGTGGTTTTCTTAGGGAACCACACCCCGAGCCTTCGACATAAAGGTTTGATCCACAAGGCAGTGGAGCATCGTAAGGAGATGCATTCCCATGGTAGTCGGTGACCAACGATTGGTTCATACGCCATTTGTTACCGCAGGATACTGGAGCCCATGTGCACCATTGGTTTGAGATCCGGTTAAAGCGCCGGACATTCGCTTTTCGTCCTCCCATTTTCGTAAACGACAGTAATACCACGAGAAGGCAGTGAGTAGGACTTCCCTTGCAGAGGCTGTATACGCGTGGCCGTGTGAGAGCATTTAGAGAGGGAGAGCGGACTCTCCTCACTCTCGGACATACTAGGGCATTTGGGGGCTTGAAATATTCACCCCTTAGATTGCAAGTATAGTAATATTTATTGAAATATTCCACTTATTGAATTCATTTATTAGTATCTAACTGAAAAAGGATGCAATGATATAGAAATGAATTCATTATACTCTGGAAAACCTTATTAGAAATTTGTCATAAAAAAGGAATAACAGGTTATTAGTTTATTCTTAAACTGTATAATAAATGAAAACGTTTTCCATAATAGTGTTGTGAAACTCCACAAATGACAATTAAATATAACTTAGTTATATTATCTAATAAAAGTCAGGAAATAATGTAAGCCATGAAATAAATGAAGATATTTTGACCTTTTTTTAAAAAGAATTACATACAATATAAAATGACTGACATGCTATTTTGCTTATATCTGTGATGCCTAAATATTTTTAAGGTCATGAATTTATAAACTTGTAATTTCAAACATGTTACTAACTGATTTCTATAGAAATGCTTATTGTTTTCTTACACGGAATCTTGTACAACAGTTAATAAAATGAATATTTTTGAAGCCCAATACTTGACCGAATCCATTACTTTATTATTCCAAAATGTCATGTAAACAACTGTTTCTTTTTGTTTATTAAAATATTTAACTGGCATGTCTTTAGTCAACAGATTATGATCTTTTTTCTTAGTCGTATTAAGCTGAATTGATTTAAGTAGTAAACGTTTATATTCAATCAATTTAATATTCGATACTAACAATAATCAACAATCCAAATGTTTATAATGGTTCATATTAGAAAAATTACATGGTAAGTATAATTAAACTGTTTCACAAAAGTAATATAACTCCGCCTTTAGCTCTTCTAGAGTTACTGTCGGTCCCAAGCCCGAGTAAAGGAGGAGGGTTGGGCATGGGGTTAGCGTCCCCATCCCGTAGAAAACTAACTCGCTAAAAAACGCTTACCAGAAAAAATAACCCAAACCATTTAAACTCTGCCCTGGGAGTTAGAAGGTCTTCATTTAGAAGAATTATGACACTTCATGGTACAAACCGAGTTCCTTCGGAAGCCAGGAGGCCGATGCCTCTTCTAACAACAAGAGCAAAAATTTTTATAGGTACATGGAACGTCCAAACAACGTGGGAGACCAGGAAGACTAGTCAAATGGCAACGGAAATGAGGAGATACAACTTGGCAGTACTGGGAATCAGCGAAGCCCACTGGACCTAAGCTGGACAGAAAAGGCTAGCTACGTGAGAGATGTTGCTATGCTCCGGTCAAGAAGAGGAAAATGCTCCACACACTCAGGGAGTCGTTCTAATGCTGTCCAAAGTAGCACGAAATGCACTTGTGGGATGGGAATCTCACGGATCCAGAATCATCAAAGCATCATTCAAAACAAAGAAGGAGGGGATCTTAATGAATATTATCCAATGTTATGCACCCACCAATGATAGCAACGACGACATTAAAGATCAATTCTACGAGCGGCTGCAGTCAATCATAGAGAAATGCGCAAGAAACGACCTCACCATTCTAATGGGAGATCTAAATGCCAAAGTCGGAATAGACAACACTGGATATGAAGATATTATGGGACGACATGGACTGGGACAGAGAAACGAAAATGGAGAAAGATTTGCAAATCTATGTGCATTCAACAAATTGGTCATAGGAGGCACAATATTTCCACACAAACGTATACACAAGGCTACATGGATCTCACCGGACCACACTACACAGAACCAGATAGATCATTTTTGTAACCCTAAATAATTTCGAAGGCTAATGGGAGATGTGAGAACCAGGAGAGGTGCTGACATAGCCTCAGATCATCACCTAGTTGTAGCCAATTTAAAATTGAAGCTAAAAAAGAACTGGACAACTGGACAAACAGCAATACAAAGGTTCGATACAGCCTTCCTTCGAGATACTGACAGACTCAATGAATCCAAGATAGCTCTCAACAATAGGTTCCAAGCCTTACAAGATCTACTGAAGGAAGAAGAAACTACTATAGAGGACAACTGGAAAAGTATCAAAGAAGCATTAACTTCAACGTGTCAAGAGGTTCTGGGCCTAAAGAAACACCATCATAAGGAGTGGATCTCTATAGAAACACTGGACAAGATCAAAGAAAGGAAGAACAAGAAGTCAGCAATTAACAACAGCTGAACACGAGCAGAGAAAGTCCAAGCACAAGCTGAATACACAGAAGCAAACAAGCAAGTGAAGAGGAGCACTAGAGCCGACAAGAAGAAATACGTGGAAGAACTAGCAACGACGGCGGAAAAAGCTGCTAGAGAAGGAAATATGAAACAGCTTTACGATACAACGAAGAAACTGTCAGGGAAATACAGTAAACCAGAGTGACCGGTCAAAGACAAAGAAGGCAAGCCAATCACCGAAATTCAACAACAGCGGAACAGATGGGTAGAATACTTCGAGGAACTCCTGAATAGGCCGGCTCCAATGAATCCACCGGACATCGAAGCAGCGCACACAGATGTTTCTATATATGTCAACCTACCAACGAAGGAAGAAATCAGAATGGCCGTCAGACAAATCAAGGGCGGGAAAGCAGCAGGACCCGACAACATACCAGCTGAAGCACTGAAGTCAGACATCGAAGTAACTACAAACATGCTTTACCTTCTATTCAAAAAGATTTGGGAGGAGGAACAAGTGCGGATGAACTGGAAAGAAGGGCACCTCGTCAAGATTCCAAAGAAAGGAGATCTGAGCAAATGCGAAAACTACAGAGGCATTACACTGCTGTCAATACTAGGAAAAGTTTTTAGCAGAGTGTTGCTGAGCCGGATGAAAGATGCAGTAGATGCCCAACTTCGAGATCAACAAGCTGGATTCCGTAAGGATCGATCGTGCACAGACCAAATTGCAACACTACGGAACATCGTCGAACAATCAGTTGAGTGGAACTCATCACTATACATCAACTTCATTGATTATGAAAAGGCATTCGACGGTGTAGATAGAAGGACATTATGGAAACTTCTTCGACACTACGGAGTTCCTGAGAAGATTGTCAATATTATCCGGAACTCATACGACGGACTACAATGCAAAGTCGTGCATGGAGGACAGCTGACAGATGCATTCCAAGTAAGGACCGGAGTCAGACAAGGCTGCTCAATCTCTCCCTTCCTCTTTCTTCTGGTGGTCGACTGGATTATGAAGACCTTGACATCTGAGGGAAAACACGGCACACAATGGACAGCTCAAAATCAATTAGACGATTTGGACTTCGCAGATGACCTAGCCCTCCTATCGCATACACACAAACAAATGCAGACAAAGACAGCCAGTGTAGCAGCAGTCTCTGCATCAGTAGGCCTCAGCATACACATAGGGAAAACCAAGGTCCTCAAATTCAAAGCGGAGAACAGCAATCCAACCACTCTTGATGGAAGATGTAGAATCCTTCACATACCTAGGAAGCATCATCGATGAACAAGGAGGCTCCGATGCAAACGTAAAGGCGAGGATCGGCAAAGTAAGGGTCGCATTCCTACAATTGAAGAACATATGAAACTCAAAACAACTTTCAACCAATACAAAGTGAGGATCTTCAATACCAACGTCAAGGCAGTTCTACTGTATGGAGCTGAAGCTTGAGGAACTACAACAACCACAATCAAGAAAGTACAAGTATTTATAAATAGGTGTCAACGCAAGATACTCAACATCCATTGGCCGGATACCATCAGCAATAGCCTTCTGTGGGAGAGAACAAACCAACTTCCAGCTGAAGAAGAAATTAGGAAAACACGATGGAAATGGATAGGACATACATTACGCAAATCATCAAACTGCATCAGGAGACAAGCACTAACTTGGAATCCTGAAGGGAAGCGAAAAAGAGAAAGGCCTAAGAACACATTACGTCGGATGAATAACAACTGGCAGTAGCTGGAAAGGATTGCTCAGGACAGGGTTGGGTGGAGAATGCTGGTGAGCGGCCTATGCTCCTTCACGAGGAGTAACAAGCGTAAGTAAGTAAGTAAGTAAGTACAAAAGTAATATACGATATACAGAAAATAACATTCATTATTTATTTTACGACCTCAATTCCTATCTTTCTATGATAATTATTTATGTGGCATGTAATCCATAGACATATTATATTGGTTGAATACTTTGTATATCTTTGGTTAATTTACTAATGATCTTAGGTCCCACTAGATATTAAGCCAGGGCTTGTAAATATTTTTAATCGGCGAAATCACCGATGAGTACTTGGTTATTGGTGAAATCATATACTTTTTGCCTTATTATAAATTGACTAAGGATGATCGTACCTCAAATCGATCCCTGAGATTTACCCTGTTTTCACAGATACTTTAAAGTCCTGGACTTGATGCCAAGCTATTTTTGACTACACATTATCGAGAAGTTTCAGATAGGACAAAAAATTGTCCATATTTCCAACTAATGTCATGGCATGTTAAGAACCGTGACTAAATAGCTTAGGTAATTGCCTACAATGCCGTTTTATATACACCAGTATTTCGTCTTGTTCTCATCAAGCCAAATAACTTATTGCTAGGTCCTATCCGTTATTCGTGTTTGGTAGACGGTTGTCTTACCATACACTTTCTGAACATCACTGACAAGCTTCGATTACAAGTAATTATGGAAAAGATAATGGAAGATTATTTATGGCAGAAATAGTCCATTATTCTTAAGGATAAAATGGATTTATGAAGGAGTTATAAAGATTATAGATCACAATGATCAAAGTGTATACTACTTCATATTTTCATATTTGAGCTCTTTAATAGGCATACAACAGTACACACATAACTGATACAAGCGAATCGTAGTATGTAGTACATAATAATTATGCCATTGATAATGGATGAACTGTTTTTTAAGAGTAATTACATTTATTGTATTTGGAAACTTTTACCTATTTGGTGTCCAGGAAATTACCAGTTTAAACTCTAGTTTTAATGAACCATAAAATGATATATCATGGTAGAAGTAATGTGAAGTAAGTAGTGATAATTCAACTTTAAAAAAAAGAAAACATGTAACTCAGGAGTGAAGAAATGATTCTTCCACTATAATTTAAAACTGCGGGCACTATGTATGTTGAGTCACCTAGACTGGTGGCCACATTGCAACATGATCGGTAGCATTCGATCTGCACTAATAAGGACTAGACAAGCAAGACATTGATCACCACCCAGTGATCAATCAATTGTATTTACATCTCAGTCCTACAGGAGGTTAGTCACGGCTCGGATAGCTCAGTGTTAACATCTCTGACTGTGAAGCTGGGTGACTCGAGATCGAATCCGCCAGGAAGCACCAGTTCCCTCAAGATTACAGGTACACCTTGCTGACGAGTGCCAAATAGCACGAAACCCGGGTCCAGGGTTTCCTGTTGACTACCTACAACCACCATCTAAATAACATTTAAATTTCAATGATAGATGAAAATGACAAAAGAAATAAAAAAGATAATTGAGTTTGGCAAAATAATTACTCACTAACTTTTGATCTATTCGATTTATTGATTTGTTGAGTTGAGAGTTGTTGAGAAAAATTACTCATAGATCGTTTTTTACGGTCATCTATAGAAAGAAATTCTTTTGTCAAGTGGTTTTAAAATATTATTCAATAGCATTAAGCATCAAACTGAAAGTTTTCTTTTAAAGTATATAAATCATATATTCATGAACGACTAGTTTTTTGAGGTAATACTGGAGGTTCGGCTAAAACTATGACCAGTGAAGTGTGACTATTTTGAATGTGTAGGAGTTATCCAGCAAATATATTGGAAGACAGTTGTGTGATATTGCGCATTGGTTGAAATTAAACATGTGAATCATTGGATGCCAGATCAGTGATATGGAAGTTTTGTGGTCGCAGTTGGGTCGAAGGTTCTGGTTTGGGTCTTCAAGGTCTGGAGTGGTGGATGACCACTACTTATAGGTCCCACACTGCGACCAGTCAGTGGTATAAACTATAGAATTGGAATAGTTTTTCTGAGTAGTTAATGAGCTGAATTTAAATGATAATCATTTCTTCCTAGTTGGGATAAAGTGAAATCATTATCTCTCATCATGAGAGCTTCTGAAATAAGTTTAACATTTTTTTCACACTATAAATACACGTGCTAGACTACGAAGCTGTTGATATAGAATTTGTTTCCAAACGTCCTTCTAAACGGTGTTTTAGAACTTTAGTCGTTATAGCAGAAAAGCAAACACTGTATAACATAATATAATACTAGTTTCTTTTCTGATTAGCTTCAGAACACACGAATTAGTTATCTGAAGATTTAACATTTACCAGTGCTTTATAATCCAGGAAGTTGTAGATTACTTATTTTTCATAAGTGATACTATTTTTGCTACCCAATAGAAATTATCGAGATTCGTACATCTGTATAGCTGATTCTGATAGTAATTATGAACAACCCTGTCGATAATAACTGTTTTTGGTGAAATACTTATTAAAATAGTTACTTTAGGACTTCCACCACAAATGTTCAGTGGAATGAGTTGTATAATGAATATTTAGTAGGCCAGCCATTTTTAAACGTTTTTAATCTACTGGAGTTGTAAATATCTTGTCTATAAAAATGATTTTGTTGTGTGGACCAACAATATAACAACAGAGTAGACACTGCAACGGATTATACAAAATATGTGAAGTTGGATTTCGGTAGCTACATAAAATGTCGGATAATTCAAGCTTTCTCTATATTGACATTTTGAAGAATATCAAGTTTAAACTACTCTAAAAATGTATTAGTAAGAAAATTATGTGAAATAATGTTTTGCAGTAGTATTGTAGTGAACAAGAACACAGGTGGGGACAAACGGATGTACTTATCACAACAATTACAGTCTATCTCAACAAAATCTGAATACCATATAGTCAATCGTCAATTTGCAAAATATTCATGCATCAAACCAAACTGGACTGTTTCTGTTGCAAACACCAATCCATTATCTCCCATTTCATTGTTCATGCATTTTCTTACAAATTACAATGTGTTCTTGCTCTACCTTTCTTGATCTTCGCCATCTTCCGCTGCCAGACATTACGTTCCTTTAACGCACGTTATATACTACTTATATCAATATAAGTAGCTCACACCACAGTATTAAGTAGTGATAAATTAGTTCTCAAGTAGCGTTAACATTGCATTTATGAGTAAAACAATAAACCACATTGTTCCAGTTTTTATTTAGAAATCAATCTACATTTGGTTGAGAGTTGGCCAGTAGCTTTCGCCACATTTTCGTTGTTTTCGTTTTACTTATGATGGATAGGTCTTAATTACTTCCTTAGAAGTGTAGGCCTTGTAGTTGTGTTTGATATCTACTATGAAATTCGTAATTGTTTTTGCACGGACATGCGCATGGAGCCATTTCTATATTTTACTTGATTTATTTTAATAGGGTCTTCCAAAGCATAGAAATCGAAGAGGTAATTTTTTAATAGTTTTGCCTTTTCATTTGGCTATATTGCATTTAATTGTATGAGTTCATTAGCTGACAGTTTAATACAAAGAATAAGGACTTATCAAACTTGGCGCTTGGCTAACAAACTTGTTTCTCGAAAATTTTGGCTGATCTACAATATCGCATTGTTACGGATCAGTTTAAAAACTTTGCTTCTATCTATTCAAAAGCTACTCATTAATTCACTAATCTAGAAGTTGTGATGTCTCACAGACGAATCACATAAAAATCGCACACATGATGACTAACATGTTGCTCAGTTAAACAATTTTGGTTATTTCATGGTGTAATGATGAAATACTGCTTTAAAGACATTACTTATTACGTACTTAGAAGTATACTCCACTAACGTTTAGTTTCAATGACTAAAATGTCTCATTTTTGTTTTATATCGTTGCTATTTATTATCAGTTATGTTTAATATCACTCCAATCCGTTGATTCTCTGTTTCCCTTCTTCTTCTCACTCCCAGATTTTTCCATACACTTGTATATACACTTCCTTGGCTCACAATGTACCTTAAAGCTAGACAAAAAACTAATAAAACTAAGAACTAGAAATTTTACAAACTTCAACCAGCTATTAATATAGACTTTGTTTGATTATCAATGGTTAATATCTCTATTCCATGCTTATCTTTGCGGATAAGTTGTATCCATGAAAAAGTGATTTATTTATGGATCGTGACTGTTTACTGGTTAATCCCTTGACATGATAGAACGGTATTTAATCATGAGGTTCCCCAAGTATCCGGCCTATTAAAATGAAGAGAAAACAAAATTTTCATTTTTTTCAAGCGTTTCTAACCTTCAATGAATTTCATTCCACTAACTTTTTAAATAAATTGTCCTTTGTATAATTCAGCCCTGTTCTTTTGTTGAAGCGTTTGCTTTATACGAAATGATTTATTGCTAAATGATGTCCAGATGTGTGAATGAACAGTACACTTTACAAGACTTGGTCAAGGTTATTATCTTTGAAACCACCGGTATGCTATTTTTAGAATACAGACATTTGCCATTTTATTTTCTTGGAATTTAAAATTAAGTTCTTTAGTTATTGAATTCATATTTAAGACCTATTTATCAACATTAATATTGACATGCTAAACAGAGTAAAAAATGTGCTGTTAATTTGTGAGCTTTATTTTTGTTTTTGTTTGATTATTTAAGGTTTGATACTATTTTGCAGCCGGATAGCGGTTTAAGCTCATTAATAAGATCATTTTAGCCATTTGATTAGTAGTTAAGCCATCTGAATTATATTCGGCTATGATACGGAGGTTCTGTTAACAAGTTCTATTCTAACCAACTTTTTTTCCGCATTTATCAGCTGTTTATTCCGTCATCATAAATAAGTATTCTAGTTGTTATAATGTTGTTATAGTTTAATGAGGTCTGTCTTTTTCTTCTAACACACTGAAAGAAATATAATCTAGTATCAGGTATTAATAATGTAGTCAATGGTCCAAAAGATAGTTGGAAAGTCGCTGGCACAAATATTTAACACCAAGAGTTTACTTGATAGAAATTTATCACTGACATTAAACGATGTATTTTTAGTTCAGGGGGAAATACATAGTGCTTCTAGGTTATGTATTTTATTTGTATACAATTTTTAGTGTGTTCATTGAATAGTTCACCTAATATTTTTGCAAAATACTCGTGTAATTTTGCTTTATGCTTTTTGAGATCTTTTAGATTATTGTATTTTAAATACTCATATAAAGTATGCAGAGAATATCTGCAAATTACATTTAAGAAATGAGGTTTATAGCTTAGCACTTAAATATGTACATTGTTAGTTAACCACACGTTTTACGAACTGGTTAAAAATCTACTCATTTGTTTGGACTGTGCAATCTCTTTTGTATCAGACTAAGTAATTTCAATTATACGAAAGGTTAAACAATCACCTGGAATTACCTGGACCAACGTTTAATTCACGAATCTGGTTTAGATGTTTTAGTGCACAAACTTCGTTAGATTTATGGAATTGAAAATTTGTGGATAAATTTACTGGGGTACATGACCTATGTCTCTGTCTCCTGTTTTGCACTGTCTTCTTACCTATCAAGTAAATGACAAAATTTGCATTTGTTACGTAAATATGTACTAGCTGAAGTAAATTTTATAAGCAAAGTAGTCTAGTAAGACTCACAATAATTATAGCGCTTGAGTGTCGATGAATACTTCTACTTGTTATGCAAAATAACAAACTCTCTCTATATGAAACAGTTTAGTACGTAACAAATACAAGCGGCGCTTATTTACTTCCCTTATTTACAGTATATATGAAAAACACAAAACTCATTCAAAGTCTGCTTTTTATGATAAAGTTGAATCACATTCGTATAGTTTGCTGATTGCTTCGGAAAACGTCTTAGAATTTTTAGAGCTTGTCAAAACTGTTAACGTAACTGTTAACTTGAACCCTGAATAATTATACGTCCAACACAAATTTTAATGGTGAAACAGTTACTGAAACGCTATAGTTTTTTTAATTTTTGGCTCAGACTGATAGTTATTTAGTTTTCTGCACTAAATACGTCCTAGTCACTGACTAATTATGGTGCTTTTATATTCTTCTTATCAAGATTTACATACAATATCACTTAATATGTTGTAGCGTATACTCAGACTTTGGTATGAGTCTTCGATATGGTACAGGTCAATTATGGGGATGGACAAATGACACTTTGTGGTGATACATCGAAAATTGTATAATGTGTTTTCCGAGACTGACGTTTACTGAACGCCTTGATATGATATATTACGGTCCTTGTAACTAGTCCCATAAAATACTTACAAGCATTTCGAGCCTCCGTCTCTGCTTATTATCATTTAGACGTATCCACTAATGGTAGATGGATTGTTTGAAAAAAAATTATTACTTAAGAGAATATTTTCCAATCTTAATTAGCACCGACGATGCGCTACTGAAAATATTTGAGATGATGGTCAATGTAGTTTTCAAGATATACTCCACCTTTTGTGTTCATGGGAAAAGTGTTACTTTGAGATCCGCTACTTTTAGCTTTTTTCACTATCTGTTTTATCCCTTTGAAGTAATGTCTCCGAAAATTAGGTAAACTTGTTCAGAACTATCAAAAAGAAACTCTCAAACTAGGAATTCAGCAAATGAAACCATAATAAATGAAGAAAAATTAAATCTCACTTTGGTCAGATGCTTTTGTATTCTGTGTTAATTTTTCATTCATACAGTTACCTTGATCAATCTGATGAACATTCTTCTTTAGTAAATTGTTCTTTGAGTTACTTAAGAAAAACTGAGACTAAACTGATCGTGAATTGTGAAACTACTTTGTTCCTAGCGTTTCTCTCAAGCCACATAGGAACAAGAAATGAATGATGGATTTTTTAAGTAAACAGTGTCACACAGGTTCAAAAAGCTTCATACTCGTTGTCATAACAACCGTACCAAATCTGAAAATAAACCATAAGTATTCAAGATTATGAAGTAGCGAACATTTTCTGTCAAGAAAAAAAAGCATTTTTTAACTTTCTGGAGAATGCTCACCCATTTAGGTCCACTTTTGCATAAAAATAGTAAAATTACTTGATGTAGCATAATCTGATATTAAGCTAAAATATTGTACTCAGAAGTATAAATTCAATATATTTTCGACGAAAAAGGACACAGTATTAGCGGCTGGAAACCAATGCATATGTAGGGCCAGTGAAACGTTACTGAACCCTAGCCAAATGATCCGGCAGTTGGGTCACAAAATGTCGAACACATCATCGATCCCTGTCAAGATCAAGGGTAACCAACGCTCATCAGTTATTCGTATGCCGTGGATTGGTCCATGCGGTGGTGGTCTCACCATCTTTTCCGTACTCATTGTTACCAATATATTTCAGTATTAACATCCTTTGTGTTTTACAGTGTTCAAAGCAGCCATTGTACTTTGATATGTCTAAGGGGTAGTCCACGTTAGATGCTAATCGAGAGGTGCGAATTCGAAGTCAGCCGTTGGTCACACCACACCTATCTAACTTCAGTAGGCCCTCAATCACTCGACAGAGATCATCAAGGTTGGTGATCTACACATATTTTTGCTTCAATACATTCTAATAATTTAGAAACTGGTAAAATCGTCTCACTTATTCTATAGAATAACAAGATGTGGCATGTTGACTGTGTGAACTTTTTGTAACTGATTATACCTCTTCTCCAGGGGTTCATCATTTGTTTGTCAGACTGTGTATGGAATGTGGACTCTTTATGATAGGGAATGTACTCATTAGCATTGAGAGTCACCAACCGAAACAGAAACTGACTCGCCTGGTTCCTGGAAGTGTATTTGATCAATATGTCCGTTGTGTGTACTTAAGTCATAGATATTTACAAATTAGGTTATCGATTTCCATCATTCATGACCACGGTCCTTGTGACTGTTTGAGGATCGTTTTGCATGATAAGTAACTTTTGCAAACTCTAAGTATCTAATGTGTGAACGAAGAACCCTTCTTTCTAATAGCTTTGATAGGATTTCTTTCGTTACAGAATGTTCAGCATTTATATAGTGCAGCAGAAACGTGTCCACATCCCTCATTAGTCCATCAAACATCGAAGCAGGAATGGAACAAACAGCAGTTTTCAATGTCTTGACGAAATTTTCTGCCTAACTATTGGAGAAAGGGTGCATAGGAGCAGCGAATACATGTCTGCACCCTATACAATTAAAACAGACAGTTGCAGAAGCCGGTAATATGTCAATTCCACATGGGCTATTCTGCCTTCCAGACTGACTAATTTATTCATTCTTCTTGGGCCACATCCTGAACTTTTGATTTATTCGCTTATAACTGACTCCTTTTATATGGGCGTTTGCAATAAACCCTTACCCTGCTCACCACATATCTAGTTGGCTCACATGCCTTCACTTATTCTCTTCGTTTACCTGATTGTCTGCCCTGTTAAACAATTGTGTGAAATATATATATTCGGAATTTTCACATGTATTTGACTTACTTAATTCCCTTATTTACTAACGCGAGTTAAGTTCTTGATTATATACGAGAATATCCAGGGTTTATATTTAAATAACAATCATTCATGCGATCAAACTGTTACCAAAATAAAGGTCTACACTAAATAATGACTGCGTCTGGAATAAAACGCGAACCGACATCGGTCACTCAATCTCATAGGTAGCCCATCCTGATTGGACGATTCTCTTAATCCTTGGATTGTGAAGTCGGAAGTTCTTGAACTTTTGGAAACGTCGGCCCACTTACAAAAAGAAGAACAACAAGTGCATAGTATTTGTCGGGAAAGAGATCACAATATTCTCTATGGACTCTCTGCCAAGCCTCAGATGATACAGACCATGGAGTCCACTTTGAATGGTGATTTTTCGACCCATGACATCTACCACAATTATTTGCCGTACGAGATATATCTAGATTTACCTTTGGCCACCAACACATGAGCCTTGCAAGAATTTTATTTCTTCAACACCCAAATGTCCGCTATCCAGACCTTCAAGTACAGATTTACGCATTGAAAGAGAAATAACAGAATGATTATTTCAAAACAAAATACCACCAGGACTAGTGGATAACTCATCCCGCTTTGTAAAATAGACAGGGAATCTACGTTTCCAACTAACATTCCAAACATTTTTGATAGCTTTGAGTATACATCCGAAGTATGGACGAGTTTCTGCAATGTGTTCTGGAAATCTTAACAGTAAAAAAGTGAACTAATAAAAAGTCTTCAGTATTAACAGGCTCATCTTGTAATGATTGTCCAGATATGTAGTCAACATGTTGAATTTATTTGGAGCTTTTATGCTGAATCATACGTCATAAAGTACCTGATAGTGAACGTAGTTTCTTAAGTTTTTAGGGACCGTGCGCTTGTCACTAGCTCTACTCGCTTTATAACTAGTTTAAAACCATTACTGTCAACTAGGTATCTAGGACATTTGGAACCAGATACACAAAATGTACACTTATTTAGATTCGCTGTAATATTCCTCTTAATTAAGCGACGCAATAAAGCATCAAGTCTTCGATCATGAGCTACTTTATCGGAACCATGTATAATGAGATCATCTTCATAAAGTTTAATACTTCCAGGTCACTGACTACATTATCCATCACTTCCTGAAATATAGCTGAAGAACGACTTACACAAAATGGAAGGGATTTTTATCTTAATGAACCAAAAGGAATGCTAATTCAAAAATGAAGAAGGTAAAAAAGAACCAATCAACATCTAAGTGTACAGGACAAGCTGTAAACCATATATAGAGGAATTCAAACACTTCAGTTTTACCTGAAGTTTGTGCTGATGATGTCGTTCAGAAGAACGATCAAACCATCCAGCTCAGAGAACAAAACTCCGTCCAGAACGTTTTTGTTCGAATGTTATTTGTATAAGGTAGAGAGTGAACCTTATCAAAGAACTATCACTAAATGAATAAACAGTTCGTTTTCATTTCAAAAGATTATTAGTCTCATGAAAAATCTCAAATCTCATTGTTCATACCAGGAAACGTAAGCAAGCTTTAAAAAATGAAACCCCCGAAAACTTCTCATTCGGATGACATGAATGTAATTAACTGGTCATCGAGCAAGTACAAGACATTGAAAAGGGACATTTGATCCATTTGTTCACACATATAGCGATGTAGTGAATTCACAAACACTACATAACATCTCCGATACGATGAAACTGTGCTGTTTTCTTTATCTATCTGCACATGAGAACAACACGCTCTATTGACTCCACCACATATTGTACCTAGACTGTTCAAATTTCTTAATATAGCCTGAAGGAAATTGTTGTTTATCAGTCATGGATGTACACAGTAAGACGTGGAAAGAAAGCACGAAAAACAGAAAATGATTAACGTGTCAAACTCTACGATCTGTTGCTTAACTATGGTAATTGCTTGTTGATAACCACTATAAGTTCAGGTAAACAAACCATCATTCGACGGCAAGTTTTTTAGTCTCAGGGACACAGTTAAAGTGACTAAATGGTTTGATTTGTCTCAGTATTGCAGTCTTTAATAACTCTTTAAAATATCACTACAAAAATTCGGCACCGGAATTATTATTTTGCTTTCAACAAGCACTACTAACTGAAAACGCTTTATTTAAGCCTCACTATCAGATTGAGGTACGATCTGATGTGAAACGTTCTAGAAAGTCAGTTCACAGATATCATATTTCCGCATCTATGTCTACAGTCGAATATATGGATTCACCTAACCACTATGGCGTTTTTCCTTATTTTCCTTCTGAGGAAGTTATTAAATGATACGTAATCAAAAGTGCTATATAGCTCTTTCAAATCGAATGTGTCTTCATTGTCACTTTGGTGACCTAAATGTCTGCTTAGCTTGTTATTAAGAAAATTAATTTAATGCCTGGCCAAATTCATGGAATAAAAATGAATGTCCTAGATGTTTGACAGTGCGCCTTCAGCTGATTTTGGTCATTATAGCTATAGGGACAAAAAATGTTTGCCCGCCTATTGGGTTGATTATACTGGAAAATCATCTACATAGATAATAAGCATACAGAATGAACTTACATATAATGATGGAGAAAACTAACGTTACGCACAATTGACAATAGGAGCAACATCTCGTAAAAGCACTGTTTCAAGTATGTTGCACCCCCATTCACATTCAAACATCCATCACCGTATGCCGTAATGTTTTAAGATTACAATAACTATTCATCTAAGATTTACGAAAACACAAGTAAAATGAGTTGATAGTCTAGAATTTATATTTACAAAGTCCACCATCAGTACATACCCATTATTATTTCTATATATCAAAAGTTAAGAAATATAAATAAGACTTGTTTAGTTTGCAGAAGTTGTATGATAGTTTTGGCGAATCATAATACAGTACTTAAATACATCCTTCTGCTGAAAACTTGTACGAATTGGTTCATTTGTGGCTTTTCATACTCAAAAGTAATCATAACTCCAAAATGACTTCTTTACTATAAGCTGCATAAGCGGATTATATTAACGACTAAGGTTGTCTGATTTATGCAAATTAGTCATTGGACTGAGGCCGTACATCAACAGATAATATCATTATTAGTATAGGGGTTGTGGAGATTTTTAAGTTTTTGATTGAGATCATGAACCGATTGATATTAGACCACCTTTGAAAACCTGGAAGCACTGGATGACCGTTTCGTCCTATTGTGGAACTCCTCAGCAGTGCGCATCCACGATCCTGCGAGCGGGATTCCAACCCGGGGCCTTCAGTCTTGTATGCAAACGATTAACCTACTGGACCACTGAGCCAAAATCGAATGGTGTTAATGTCTAACCTCAACCAATCCACGAAGTTGCGCGACCATCTTCCATTGTACTGAGGTAGATATCTGTCTCTACCCGACACGGATTAG